GAACAGCTAAAATTACGCCCGATTGTTGAAAGTAAATAAAACGATACGGACACGAATAATTAGCGACTAAAAAAGATATATGCAATTAGAAACTTAATGTTTGTTGAAGTCTGAAGTATTATAATAAACTGATATATCTATTGGATAATTGTGAGCTCACCTGAAAGTGGTGACTTATCGTCCAGTTTTTTTTTTGTTTGCGAAGTCCTTACAGATTTCCCTAAAATATAAAGTATATAATAATAATTAATCGAGATAAGCTTGAGCTTTGTATCAAAATAAAATAGCTAAAATCACGTCCGATTGTTGAAAGTAAATAAAACGATATAAAAATAATTATCAAATAAAAAAAACTTAAACTACATAAAATAAATAAGTAAGCAGAAACATAATATTTATAAAAGTATGTATTACTGAAAATACCTGTTGGACAATTTCGAACTCACCTGAAGTGCCTTCCTCTTCGTACTTTATTTGTCTTGGCGTTATCTTTGGACGAGATTTGTCTGTAATAAAAAGTATATTATAATTGGTCGAGATAAGCTTTGTGTGTCAAAATGAAACATTTAAATTCAAGTTCGAAATTGTTGAAAATAAATAAAAATAATATGAAAGCGAATATAATTATCAAATAAAAAGGACATGTGTAAGAAAACATAATGTTTGTTAAAATCTGTATTACGGCCATGAAATATTTATTGGACAATTTTGAGCTCACCTGGTGGAGACTCAATTGGTGGGGTATTTTCCAGTTCTACTAACTTTTGTTTTGGCGGGCTTTTAACAGAAGAAGATTTCTTTTCTGAAATAAAAAATAATAATGGGTCGAAGTTTAAGCTTTGTCAAAATGTAACAGTTAAAGTCACGTCCGATTTCTGAAAGTAAATCGAGCATTATAGACGAGACTATTTATCGAGTAAGACGAATATAAACTACATGTGTAAATAATATATATGTATAAATAAATAATATACTTATTATGTTCGCTGTTTGAATTATGGTACTGAAATTTATCTGACTTGGATTCTATTTGATTTGATTTCAAGCGCACCTCGAAGCGATGATACATTTGACTTTAGTGGTGATCTTATTGTAGTCGTTGATAATGACGGCGATGTTTTCATTTGTGATGTTGATGGTTCTGCCATCTCTTCTGACTTTTGTGTTTTTGGCGACTTTTGTGTTTTTGGCGACTTTTGTGTTTTTGGCGACTTTTGTGTTTTTGGCATCTTTTTACTCTTTGGCGATTTTTTTTCAATATTCTCCATTTTTTATTTTGCGCAATATCTTAAAAATATTTGATACGTTTCGCAATTGAGCGTTAAATCAGTGTTTAATTTTGAAGTTGTTAGTTACACGTACGAACACGTAAATAAACACAATAACAGACACGCAACATAAAAAAACTCTCGGCTACACTTTTTCGATACATGGTTACGTGTTTAATTGTGCGACTATGCGCACATATGTATACATACACACATATATAACTGTCCGAATATCTTAGATAGCGGTCAAAGATTCTTGGATCGAAAGTAAAAAAAACATATATCTCATGTTTGCGATATAACAGGATATTCATGTAAATGACGATTTGTGTGATAATTCGCTCGGTGTGTGTCGGCCGGGAGTTACGTAACGCGCGCGTATATATATATATATATACATGTATATTTATATCTCGATAATATCGACGGCCGATCGCGAAATAGCGTATCTCGCGCGAGCGTTACATAGACGAGAGCGCGAACGGGCGTGTGCAAAGGCGATATATACCGAAGTTATGCTATATTACAGATCATTATGCAATGCGCGCATTGACGCAATTCAGATCTGATCTGCGGACACGAACCGATCCATGGGAAATCTTGAATTACACGTTTTATATATCGGTCGTTTGCGCGGCCGCCGCTGTTGCTATTGCTATATCGGAGGGAATTGAAAGGGCCGTCGTGACTGCGATTACGTTAATTTCTTTGCTTATGATAATGGCACAGGGCGGCCTTGTGCTCGTAAATTTTCGTTTCATAACCAAGAGGAATTACATATTGACACGGTTGGCGGGATTTAGCTTGTGCATATGAAACCAACTTGAGTGGTTTGCTCGCACGCTGAAATTTATTTAAACGCGTTTCAAGATGTCCGCTAAAACGCGTCGAAAAGCAGAAAACCTGTCGCAACTTCCTTCTCTCTCCGAAAAGAAGTGACATCAAATTTGGAAAATAAACTTTAATGTCGATCTGAAAAAAAAGGATTAATTGTGTTTTCGATCAAAAAGCCGATCTGAGGAGAAGAAGGCGGCGATCTCAATCCTTCGATCTCTCTCGATTCCTGGCAACGTTTTCTTTGTATACAAGACGGAATTGTGTAAACTCGACATTTCGAAAGATCGGTGAACGTCATTCGGAAAATACGGAGATAATTTAATAGTCGTGAATATATGAGCGGCGAATACGTTTTCAATACGTTACAGTTACAATGAATCATACACAAGGTGCGCAACAGTGACTCAGTTGCGCTTGCTTTGTGAAAACGACACAAAAAAAAAAAAAAAAAAAGAAACAACCTAAGATTCCATCATCTCTTGCAAAGCGAGATATCTTATTGACGTATGTCTTTAAACACATTGTCTGCTCGTACTTTTTTTTTGTGCTAAATTCTTCATTGTCCGAGTTACCCGAGGAGTTTATTTAAGTAAACACACACATTCGTGACTAAATCTCTTTAAGTATTAATAAAAAATATAAATTTTTTAATGTATTTTATACATTTGGCACGCTGTATTTGTATAACGCGAAGCGACTTGATTGTTCGGTAGAGTACGAGTAAGCATCGAGGACCATGGCGAGTTAGAATGAGGGCTCTGACTTGTCACTGCACGTGGCCCTCACGAGCGGCGGGACAGAGTGTGCTCTGTCCTGCCACCAAGTTAAAGCACAGGTGAGGAAGATTCCCTCCCTCCGGGAAGAAATAAGGTGCGAGAAGGAGAGAGTTCCCACCGGAGTACTCGGGATCCTTCCCACGTACTAGAATGGCGTATCAGAGTTTTAGCCGGTGAGAGTTCTATTCTCACCTCAGGGATGAAAGTGTCCATAATAAATTTCTCCTGCGTTAAAAAAAAGTGGACCAGTCAGAAATGATCCGGCTACAGTTTTCTGAAGAGTTGATAGATACAGAAGTACCGAGAGGATTATATCAGTGTTGAGAAAAAAAATTGTGAGATCGAGCAACATCAAATTCAAATGAGGAGTGGAATTACGGAAGCGAGTTAACTGCCAAAAAACAATTCCGGGAAGTGCGTCGCGTTGCACATTCCGGTTGCGAATTCGCGCTGTTGCAATTCGCGGCGCGAAAATCGCGGAGGACAAAGGTGACTGTACAGACTCTTTTCCACCTACGAGCGGTAAAAGTACGGCCCGTTATGGATCGTGACGGGACGTCTGTCGTGACTCTGTCGTGCTTACGCAACTTGTGCAGTGTCTCTTTCTCTCTCTCTCTCTAGACCCGATTTGTGAGCCGCGCCGGAATGTCCATTACAATACTTCTCTACACGTCAGCCTCCATTCATGCGCCTTCCTCCCTCTCTTCGTCTTCTCAAAAACTGTCCCGTCATTCGCAGACACTTCCCTCCCATTCGTTCGGCGTGCGTTGATTTGTGACAATTTCCGTCATACTCGATTCCGCCGTGTCAAATGCGAACCTTACACGGTCAATAATACTGTCAATCTTCAATATTATAATATTGATTGGACTGTAGTTGATACCGATGATACATTATTAAAAAAATTGCTGTGACCGTTGCCGCGACAGAATCTCAAGTCGGGAACGCAATACGGACTTTGTTCGTGTGATCAATACTGTCAACAAATAATATTTCTTGATATCGATACGGTATTATGGACTTTGTAAGATAGGTAGAGCGTCTCTCTTTTTAGGACGTGCGAGAGATTCGCTTGCCTTCGCGAAAAAAGAACGAAAGGAAATGCGCGAGCACACGTATGCGAAAGCGTTCGATATGATGTACACATGCAATTGTCAGATATAAATATTATAACTTTGTGTGTGTGTGTGAGTGTGTGTGTTAAGTGTTTTCTTTACCAAGTACGTCTTAATACATTGTTTTATTGTTTTTTCGTTTATCGCGTTTAAACTTGTTGCGATACGTGACGATACGATTTATCTCGCGCGTATATATTTGTGTGTGATAAAATTCATATTTTGTAATGAGAAAGAATAATAAAAAAAACATAAAATGAAAGATATCGCGCCGAGTAAACCCTCGGCACTTTGTAAAGATAAAAAAATCAATCCATCAGGTAAATAAATAAATTATACGAAACATATATGAGGTTTAAAGTAATTGTGTTCCAATATTTCCAGAGTTGATCTTACTTTTTCTCACTTGATACACTATTGTAAAATAAATTTATAATAAAAATACATTACACGCGTGAGACAAAAAACCTGTTCGTTCATTTTGCCCGCGTTACGTGATCCACTGATAAAGTTGCGAGCAAGTGTCAACATGGGTACCACGGACTCCATCTGTTGGTCGTGGATGAAAAGTTTGTGTACATGATCTCACATAATAAAGTAAACATTATTTACAAATAATGGTTGATAACGACCGAGAGAAACCGCGAACCAAATTTATCGCGTTGATATTTATTTTCATTTATATTGACACAATATCAGTAATTTAATCTGACAGCAAATACTGATAAATGTCAAGCAATTTAATCTCTGACAGCAAATACTGATAAATGAAATAATTATTTAGTTTTCTTTTTTTTATGTTTGAAACAAAGTGAAATTACTCTAATAATAAATATGAACAATTCATGTATCTATTTTATTGACTCTTCTTCAAATTCTTCTTTTTTTATCTCACTACATTCCTTTTCGAGATAAAAAAACAAAAAAAAATATTTTTATCATATCAATTGTTTGATTATCGTGTCGATGAAGCGCGTTGAAACTCCGTTTTTCTCCTGGAGGGATTACGTTGGAATTACGTTCGTTTGCTTCGCGAGGTGGTTGCACCCCCGCGCGGTCTAATGAGAAGCGTCGGCTGACCGACGTCAAGGGGTTAAAATCGTCGACAGTGCGCAGTCGCGCTGACCGCTGTCCACTTCTTTCTTTTCCCCCTTACTAACTACCCCCCGGATTATTCCTCACTCGCCTTATACTCACTTATAGAGAGTATAGTCCAAGTATATACTACAAATACTAACTCTGCTCCCGCGTAAAAGTAAAGCGCGCGTGCCGCAATCAGGAAACAGGGTTGCTTGCTTGTTCTCCAGTATTTCACGAACAACCGGCAAAATACGCGGCTCCAGGGTGGCGAACGGCGAACCGAGTGAGTATCCGCTCATGTTTCTCCGATGCCGAGACGCTCGCGCTTTCGATCACGTTCGAAATCTTTTCCTTTCAATTTTTCAATATATCGCATATAAAACACATTTTTTTTTTAATTTTAAAGTACTTCATAATAAAAAAAAAAAAAAAAAACTACTATCGGCGCGAGAAAAAAATTGATACGTTTCGGTTCCGTTAAAACTTGCAATATTTCTTCGCGCGCGACGCGACAACAACGACTGCGATTAAAACAGCGAGCGAGCAGAGGCGGCAAGAAATAGAGAACATCGTGAGAATAATTTATCACGACGAAGGTAATTCGATCGCGGCCGGCTTTTTACTTTGGATTTACCGTCGCACACAAGACGATGCGTCGTGTGGTAATGGACAGATCGTGTATTATTAATACGCTGTACTTGTGCACATCGGGATTCGCAACGCACACGTGTGCGTCCTGACTCACGCGATTAGGGATGTGTCCTGCGTGAAAAGCGTCGGAACACAAACGTCGGACTTTTGTCAGCAAACGGGGGAGGAAGCGAGAAGAGGGTAAGAACTTTTCGCGAGTCGATAGTCGCGCGCGGAACGTCGTAAAGCCATTCGTAAAGGCAAGTTCCGCAGAATAGATACGATCTGCACTTTTCTGCGAAACTAGGGCAAAGTCGGTGTCGCGCAATTTTGCTGATTCTCTGATTTAGCGTTTATATTGTTTTCTTTAGATTTTTTTTTTTTCATTCGATTTATCGTAAAATACAATTTCGCTGTTGCGTTCCTTGTAAAATCATTTTCAATCTTTTGGAAAATACGCGCGGATCTGCGTGTTCACACATTAATTAACGATTAAAGATTTGATAAAATATAAGTAGAGAGATATTCCCGGAAAAAAAAAGTTTTATACGTTGATACTGAACGCGTGATTTCACAATCGTCTTTCTTCAGATCCGTTATCTCGTACTTTGGCAAGAGAAACAACTTATTCAAAACCAGAGTTAGCCCTTCGCTAAGAACACGATGACAAAAACTCAAAACAAAAACACTTAGATAAAAATTTAGAGGTTAATTCCTGAACTTTCCAAAACAAAAGTTTTTAAACAAACATCACAGCGTGAACATTTTATCTAATTACATAAAATTATTTTTTCTCATATTTTAAATAATTGTGCAAACACAAATGTATAAAAATACAGAAATGATCGTCGCGCTTCCGCTAGGCGACTATCTTGTTCCAAAATTAATACTAACACATTGTGGAGACACAACGCCACGTCATCCATATCCAAATGACGAAAGCAATTTTCCCGTCACTTCCATTTGTGTGACGCGTCACTTCCATTTTACTCATAAATTACATCCGAATAAAACTTTGTAGAGAATTTGCTAAGTTGTTTAATATAGCAATAATTTTTTAAATACATTCATGATTTGGATCTCGTAGGAAACACATAAGGTTTCTTTTTCCCTGGCTGCACTAGTGTTCATAGTCTATCTTTTTCCTTCCAATATGGATGAACAAAAAATAGACTGTGACCTAGCGCAGCCAGTTCAGGAAAAAAAAACCAAACCTGTGGTAAATATTTCAAGCTACTCAGTGACATTCAACAGTTAGAACGAGAACAAAATGACGTCCGAAAAGACGCGTAAAATTTTTTGTTTAAAAAACCTTTACCAAAAACTCAGACTGACAAAATCAATCTCGCGAAATAAAATCATGCAACATTTTTTTCGAGATTTCGTGAGATTTTCTTCCTTTTGAGAGAAATATATTTTAAACTTACACAATAACGGTCAAATACTCCGAGATCTCTGCGAATCGATTTGGTGTTTCACCGAGCTCTGGAACGGCAATGAATAGAAGCAAAAATAGGGCGTTCTTTCTGAGCCATGGGAAATAATTCCATTAGGCCGGGAACGCAAAGAAAAACCTTAAAGCAATCACACACACGAACGTGCGACGCGAACGCGAACCAATCACTAACGAGTATTCTGACATTCTTGTAAAAACGAAATGTGATTGATCTCGTAAATTCTCGGGTAGCTAGTGATCGTGCGTTTGTGCTCATTGTTCCTGCGCTTATTGGCTTCCAGATTTATTGCAAATGTGAAAATATATAACCAATGACAAGCGACGATCATACACACAAAGTGCTCGATTCTGCCCCAAACGCGGCCATTGACCTCGCTGCTTTCCCATAAGGTTCGTGTTAGGTACGTTTTTCGGACTCTCAATTCCCAACTGAAATTCTTTCGCCTCTTCTCTGTCATCAGGACAACAATTGAGAAACGAAATTATTGCGAATTCATTTAGAAGAATTACACGGTAATCGCATCCCGAGTCTTATACTGTTTATTTTTATTTATTGTTACACCTTAGAGGAGACTTCGAAAGACTGATAGGTTTCGCTTCTATAGTCATCCTACAATCATAGATCATTTTTTTCGTCTTTCGTGATACGTCGTATCGCTAGAGGAAACAACAATTTTATATACATGAATAATCGAAAAACTTTTGCTCATCGTAAAATATAAACATTCATCTCGCGCGTCAATAGAGAGAGAGAGAGAGAAGAGTTTTGCACATCTCGGCAATTATAACAATCAAATGTATTTTAAATAATAATAATGACAAATAAAACAAATAACACGTGCGTATTTTCCTGTTCTCGGAATTTTTGTTTTCAATCTAAAAACAATTATTTCTTGCAATCAAGCGCAGATGCTTTGTACAAAGATAACTCGCTAATTTTTATTGCACGTAACGAGAAAAATCGATTGCAAAAAAAAAAAAGAGGATATAGAGTCGAAGATTGACCTCACCGGAATTAACTTTTGCCGGCATGTCAGTCCGTGCGAAGAACAGCCGTCACGTGCCAGGAGTTTATAAAAAAAAAAAAAAGCAATCGCGCGACCTCGCTAGAGACAATCTCGGCAAGTCGGGCAAGTCCATGCAAAGGTGCAACAGTTGGAGTCAAGGCGAGGTAGCGCATAGTTTCTCCTTGCGTCTTGAAATCGATATTCGCGATTAACCGCGCGAAAAGTACGTAAATACGAGAAAATAGCGAGAAGTCGCTCGTATTCGACCGCGGGTCGCGAATCACCTCGCATCGTACAACCCTCGAAGCGACTCTTCTTATTTTTTCTTCTTTTTCTCTCTTTCGGGGGTGAGACGCAGCTCCGCCTCGTTGCAGAGCGCGCGGTAGCGCGCGATTTATTATTTAGCGGGAATATAATCGATGGCTTACGGATTATACCGTGTAACCGGTGTAGATCCTTCGCAATAGTCGTCATTTTCGCGATGGTGCCCGCGTCGCGAAGCAGGAAGAGCCGCACGTTCCCTACCGCCGCTGCGAATCGGCGGCTCGTGAAGTTTCTCGGGTGAAAATAACGAAAAAAAAGAAAAAAAAAACGGTCGTTCGTTCGTTGTGCGACGAAATCATGCTGGCGAGATTCAGAAACAGCTTTCGCTGCGTCCTGCCGAGATGCCCGACTGTCCGTATTCCAGGGATGGAGAAGCCGGAGTCCTCCGGGGAGGCCGAGAGCGCCGTCGAGCTCGAGGATCGGGATCCCAACAGCCTCAACCAGCATCTTCAGGTAACAACAAAAATTGCTTGTCAAGTCGCACATTAGATGCGCAGTTCGTTTTTTCACTCATTCGACGAACTTCCTTCGATTAGACCGCGTTTTTTTCTTTTTCGAAGCTCTTTTTCTTAGATTACTGCTTTATATTTTTCTACAACAATTTGAATGACAATATAAGACAATATAAAATTTTACACACGATGCAAACTTCGATATATGTATAATCCTTATTTTTTCAATTGAATAATAATTATCGTACAAAAACAATTGAACAATTCGAATTGCATTCGTATTTCGCGCGCAAAATCTAAACTTTAACACACTCTTTATTTCTTTAATTTATACGATGCAATAATTATGATCTCGATAAAAAAAAAACTGTTAATTGGGAGCGCTAAAAGTCGATTGCACATTTCAATTTTACTTGACTAAGCAAACTTGTCTAGCAAACAGTCTTTAAGTAGAAACGCAAAGTTTTTTTCTTTAAATTACTACTTACGTCCGCTAAAGCACTAAAAGCCACAATGTACCTGGCATTTCCTCGAAAATAATTGAGGATCGATAATCACCCCGATGTAGGCGTACATAGACACAACTGTGTAGACCAACTCGCTCTTACTTACTTTTACCGGTGTGTGACAAAGTATAAAAGTAATTGTCAGAAGACAATCGTTGCACTTTATATATATATATATATATATACTTATGGGATCGATTTTATTTGTATATACTGTATAAATTTGTTCTCTCTACATGCGAGCATGAAACACTGTACGTTGCGTATACCGTGTACACAACATGTGCATCATGTTTAGGTGATGTGGGATGACGTGATCGGAGAACCGGAGGGCATCCGCAGTCCCGAATGCGCCTGGCGACTCAGCGGCCACTGCTTCCGATTATCACGGGGATGCTGTTACGTGTTCATGTCAGTTCTTGTGGCACCTCTGCTCGCCCTCTGTTTGGGATTCACGTTCGCCTGCCTCGCGTTCCAGGTGAGTCAATAACCCCTGCTTGCGTGCGTCAGGTCTCCTCGAATCTCACCGATCGATTCTAAAGTGTCTCTCCCGTGAGTAATTGTCGTAAAATAACGAGTTCAGAATACCAGAGGTATTCTCGGTATCGTCACGTAATAAATATAGAGTTTGCACTCGGAAAATATTCGAGTGTTTTACGCGAATCAACATGTCAGCAAGTTGTCATCGACCATAATTCCAATTTGAATGCAATTATCATGCAATTTTTTCTCAAAATAATATTATTATTCTTTTGCAGCATATATGGTGTGTGGCTCCGTGTTTGCGCGTGTGGAAGATCACGTGCGCGGCGACGCGAAATTTCCTGGCGGCACTGACGCAGGCGGTGATTCGACCGATCGTGGAGGCGTTCGGCTACCTCTGCCACAATATTCGCGTATTCAATCAAAAGCTACCGGACGGTCCCATTATAAAAGAAGACTTGCTGGTCGTGTGACTTTGATTAGAATTCGCGGTAGCTTTTTTAGCTCTTTATTTTTTGTTCCCTCGCTATCAGTTTTTTAATATTCACTTTAACACGACGTTAAATACATATGTATATAGCGCATTAATCGTGACGCGCGTTTAAAGCGCATTTAAAGCGAAAATCGTTTAAATTAACTTCTTCGGTCTAGTCTAGTCTCTCTGCAAAAAGGAGTCGACAATTTCTCGACTAAATAAAAACAAGTTATTATTAATAATAATGAACGTATATTGCGAATCGTTTTCTATAAAAATATAAATTTAAGGAAACATTAAATTGAAAATCGCAATACAAAAAAATTGCACAATTCAAAAATTATTTTTCGGACGCTAAATCTCACATGTGAATATATAGTGGTGTATTATCAAATTATATTAATTAATTATGTGAAACTCTTCATCCCGTTTGTACTTAATGTAAAGATATTGTGAAAATAATGATCTCAAAAAAGTGACATTTAAAAGCATCATTGTGTGTATAATATATATATATGTAAGTAGATCTCTCTATATATATGAAGACTTGTGTGTAAGTAGAGAAATTATATTCTGGAAGAGATACAGAGATAAAAGTGAATGGTTGTACATCGTATATATTTTAATATAAATATTTCGAACGCGTTACGACGAAAGTAATAATGCTATAAATGTATCTCACCGTCTCATTGTCGTAATCTCAGAGATATATTTTTCTAGTCTAAGTTAAATCGTGCAATTTCTCTGACAGCCTCATAGCATTCCGTCCACACAATGCGTTTTTTAATATGTGTACACAAATCTGCTTAAAAGTGTAGTAGTAGTAGTAAGTGTAAAGGTCTCTTTTGCGCTCCCGGCCTTGTAGAAGTGTATAATAATTTTAACTCGTGTGCGTGTCTCGAGATATATAATTGCAGATAATTAGAAGATAATTAAGAGATAATTGGCTCGTTAAATACTTTCGACCTAGTCGATTCTTTGAAGCAAGTCAACTCTTTCACATGTTGTTCGCTTTCTTAAGTGTAAAAACGTATAGAACAAGAAGAAGGGACAAGAAGCGTTTTGTTCTACTTCGATAATTATTCAGTTAAAACAAAATCTGAACTCGATTCTCGTCTCTGAGAATTAATTTTAAATGTCTATCAAATCTCTGATTAACGATTTTATTGATGAAAAACAACGGCAAATTATACCGAGGTGTTAGGCACTTACCAAAAGACTTCCTCCTAAATATGTGACTATAAATGTGTACAAAAACGAAACATGTGATTCAAATTTATTTATAATACATTTATGTAAAGAATATATAGTGGTGTATTATCAAATTATATTAATTAATTACACATCTATTCACTTGATTATAGTCGACAATTTCAATTTGCATGCGTAAAGAATGAGAAGATAAAAATATGCGTTGTACGATATTTAATAAAAACTTGCATTTATCTTCATGTTTATATAAAAAAACTTCGTAACAATAATATACAAACTTATACAGAATAGTGTAAATCACAATCTTAAAAAAAAAACAAAATCTCGATTTACGTACAAATGCATGATATCTTTAATTATTTTTTGTGATTATTATCATTGTTATTATGTTTGCTCACATTACATATCTTTTGTAATTGATATATATATATATACAAAGATAGTTATTACGTATTAAGAATAATTTTAATTAGAGAATGCAGAAATGCCAGTAATTCTTCTTCCAAGAATTAACGCGTGAATATCGCTCGTACCTAAATCGAAAAAAAAAAAAAGAAAATTAAGATTCTCAAGTGAACTGATATAAAAATGACATGACAATCGTACCTTCGTAAGTATTCACGGTTTCCAAATTCATCATGTGCCTGATCACGTGATACTCATCCGAAATCCCGTTTGCACCCAGCATGTCCCTAGCGTTTCGTGCGATCTCCAGCGCCTTCATAGTCGAGTTCCTCTTGATGATAGAAATCATTTCCGGCGTTGCTCTATATAGCGCACAATGATTTTTCATTCTCTTACGTATATAAAGACGAATAGTCGAGATAATTTTGTTGTAGCGATAATTACCTATATAGGTGTATCTTCTGGCCACGTAATTTCTTTCAATTTAATACGTTTTATTGCCAAATATATTGTTTTTTTACCTATTCTCGTCCTTCAGTCTGCCAACTCGCAGGCAGGCTTGAAGACCGATCGCGATCTCGCACATCATATCCGCCAGTTTCTTCTGCACCAGTTGGTTCGCCGCCAGCGGTCTCTTGAATTGATGTCTCTCCAGAGTGTAACTTCGCGCGATCTTCAGGCAAGTTTCCGCCGCGCCCAGAGCGCCAAAAGCGATGCCGAGTCGAGCGTTATTTAAACAACTAAACGGTCCCTTTTTTAATCACACACATCATTATTGCATATGTTTACAAAATATATGAAAACAAAAAAAATCACTCATCAAAAGCGAACTTCAAGAATTTTCATCTTTGTAAAAATAAAACTTGGATTACCCTGAGTCCCTGAACGTTCAGCACCTTATCCTCGGGCACAATTACGTTGTCCATCAGAATCATTCCGGTAATGGACGCTCTCAGAGAAAACTTCCCGTCGATTTTCGGAGTGGACAATCGATCGCCCGCAGTCTTTCTATCGACGATGAATCCGCGAATCTCGTCGTTGCACTTCGCCCATATTAGCAACACGTCGGCGATAGGCGAATGCGTGATCCTGAATGAGATTCGAAACTTTGTGACTTCTGCGCTTGGATTTGCGCGAGAAAAAGAAAATATCTTCGTTTCTTTCTTTTTTTTTAAACCAACCATGTTTTGCTGCCGCACAATCGGTAGACTTTTTTGTCGGGATCGTAAGTGGCTCTGGTCTCCATAGATCCTGCATCGCTGCCGTGATTAGGTTCCGTCAAACCGAAGCACCCGATAAGCTCTCCGGTAACTGAAATATACTTCTTAAACTATCGATTTTCTAACGATATGTCATTTGATCAATTTTATTGCAGTAAAACCGACGTTTTGTAGTTATTTGAAAAAAAAAGTCTTTAAAATCAATAAAAACCAGAAGAACGTACTCAGCTTAGGCAGATATTGCTCTTTTTGAGCGTCGCTGCCGAACATATAAATAGCGGCGGCCGTTAGGGATGATTGCACCGATATCGCGGATCGATAGCTGCTGTCGACGCTCTCGACTTCCTTGGTCAGAAGTCCGTAAGCCACCCAAGACACTCCCGCGGCTCCGTAACCCTTTATGGTGCCGCCCAACACTCCGAGCTGACCTATTTCCTTCATTATCTCCCGGTCAAAGTACTCTTTGCGATTCGCCTCGATCACACGCGGAAGAAGTCGCTCCCGACAGTACGAGCGGAATTGATCCCTCATGAGAATCTCATCCTGCGTCAGCTGCGACTCCAGATCGAACGGATCTTCCCAGTTGAAAGTGGCTGCGTATGTATGTGGAATAATTTACGAGAGAAATTAATTCAAAACCAAACGTTTTGAAACACGTTAAAAAATAATTAAGTAAAGTTGTAAAGATATAATTGGTTTAACAAGAGACAGCTTTGTGCACTTATATAATCCAATAATTGTCAGTACTTCGGAATAAATCACGTACATATACAATTATATGTAATTAATACGATTTAAATATTAAAAAACTTAAAAACTAATATATTATTTCAAATAAATTAAACTTAAATATTTAAAGTTGTTTAGATAATGAATTATCACATTTGTTAATTATATAGTTTGTTGATACGTTATCGCTATTTGCGAGAGTAAACAACCTCAAGTGATAATGATGACGTAATGGTTCAGCAGAGTGTATGTAGTCTATAGCAAATTACTTAACGTAAGAAAACATTCTCGCAACAGATTATGTGCGAGCACAGTTGACCCGATGACCTCTCACGATAAAGATTTTTTTTTTTTCGACTTTTGAGCATCTCCAAAGCTTGTTTATGTAAAATTACAGACAAAACGTAACACAATTTGTTGCAAGTACAACATAAATCTGATATATTTTATTGCAGTACGATGTAATATATTAACAAAACTGCTCTACTAATAATATTAAAGTTTAAACTTTTTCATCAGTAATTTCAAATGTGACAGCGCGGCAAAACATTCGCGCGCAACGTCAAGCGAGTTATCGACAGCGAGATAGCGAGAGTCTACACGCTGCTGCCATCTGACTTGATATCACACAAATATCTTGATATCTGTTGACATTATATTGTTAATTGTTATCTACACGTACATATGTATTTTCCGATCAAGTACACATGTGACGCAGCAAAAGATATGCTGTATCGAAGATTTTTCTCATTTTACTTTTCGATAATAATTCGTCGTTATTGTATAAATTAATTACATTGTAAATAGTTCAATCCATAGAGTGTAAGATTTTTTATCTAAAATCTGAATCTCATTTGACGCTTATCTCTTTTTTACAAATAAAAAGACAAAACAAATCGCACACACAGATCATTGAACGAAGCAATAAACTATTTAAATTCGGTGTGACTTACATTTCTTTCTAAGTGCCGCAGAAACCTCTGAATTTTACAATGGATTTAAGAAAAATAACACAACGATCGTACGCAAATCATTCAAACACACACGATGTGATTATCAAATGTTATAACGTTATCTGATTTTGAGCTCTTTCCAAAGGATACGTCTCGCCGAATTAACGCGACATAAGCAACCGGTTCGCAGCAACAACTTTTGGACAAAACCTGCCATGACGAGGAGCGGCAAATCAAACAGTCACGACCGCGAGTTCCTCACAGAACGTTGTTATCAACTGTTACTCGCAGCGCGTGGAACATTTTCGAGAAATCTCCTCTCTGACATTTCCCCACTTAATCGCGGCATCTGCGCGCGCGCACGACAGTCATCTGTTGCAGTATTCAACATTTGTCATGAATCATGTTACACGCACAACGATTCTTTGTAATTTCGGTGCGTGAGAAATTCTTTTTGCATATAAATATTTGTACACACGTCACGTGTGTGACAAAGTCTAAAACAACAGATCTGATGAGATTTGCTTCAATAAAACAAAAAAAAAAAAAAACACACAGAGACTTACCAAAGTTTAAGAGAAATTTTTCTTTTTTCAAAAAACAATCGTCATAAATCACATGAATATCTAGAGCCCAGTTTCGGTTTGGAGTTGGCGAGACTGGGCTCCGATCGTTTTCGAGCGTCACCATGTTCGACGCCACAACAGCGATTGGACGAAACCCAATGTCCCACGTACCTTTTCAATCGGTTCAGACGTGGCTTACTTCCGTGCCGCGTCGTTGCGATTGACTTCTTCAATAAACAAATACGTTCCAGCAAATTGAACGTATCGCGTATCGTGTAACAAAGCTGTTGGAACTCGAGGAAGCCGATCAGCAATGATTTTTCGCTTCGCGCGGGTCGTTGAGGTGGTTCAATCGGACGATTGCAAATCTGAGATCTCAGTAAAAATACAATAACAATATCCCACAGAAAATTTGAGCTTGATCGCGCAACTTCGATTCCGCGTCTCTCTCTCGCAATTGCCCGCCAAAATCGAGCGCCAAAATCGACTCTCGAAATATCGAATTTCGATTCGGCAAAGCGCGCGCGCGCACATATGTAGCAGCACAGAACCGATGATCAATCGAACGGATATACATATATAAGCAATGTACTCGCCGACAAATCGCTCGTGGCTACGTAGTTACCAATTGCATCACCGGAGGAACACAGCGCTGGCGGAAAAAGGCGGAAAAGCGATAAAACCCTAAACCAGGTCCGTGGCCGCTCTCTCAGTTTTTTCTCTGCTGGAAGCCGTACAAAGTGTTTACGTTTTTTTTTATTCATTGGGGGGTGTCACGTAATTAATGAAGAAACAATATCTTTCTCTCTCTCCTCATTTTTCCTTTCTCTCCGCGGTGTTTTTTTTCCGTGCGCGTATTCGGAATTAAATTTCGCAAAAAACGTTCGCAAAGCGTGAAATTGACGTTGAATCTCGTCTGCTGGAACGAGGGTCAGTGCGCACGCGTTGAATTTTGTTGTGCAATCGGCGAACACTGGCCCCGGCACTAGCCGCGTGCGTGACGATAATTTGTCGCACGATCCGGGGAAACGCTGTTCTCTCTCTCTCTCTCGGGAGAGAAGATATATCTCGCAGAAGTTCGTACCCCCCGCAATTTCTTTGTAATAACGATAAGTCGGAACGAAACGCGTATATTGCACAGTTGACGTGCGTAAATAAATAAATTAGATATCGGTTGAGAGAACAAGACGGATCGAGAGAAAGGGACGAAACATGGCGAGAGCTTTTTGACGATGACTGGACGTACGTAAGGACCCGCGCTGGAGGTACACGCGCCAGTCATTGTCTTCGATTGTTCCGATTGTCAAGATCGGCCGTGCTCGCGGTGACGTCGCGAAACGCATCGTCAATCGGCACCTCGATCAAGAAGGTTTTCGACGACGAAGTTGTCGTCTCTACGCGAGGAGACGAACCTCGAACAAAAATTTGATGAAAACCAACTGATGCGCGTCTCGGGGGAAACTTCGGGGAAGAGGACAAAAATATCTCGCACAAGATACTCGATCAGTTCCGAAAAGGATGATGATTAAGCGCTTACTTGTGTAATCGCTGCTAGCTGTGTGTTCTGTAGTTTTTTTTTTTTTTTTAAATAAATTCGCGTAAAGAGTAAGTATGCGCGTGATTTAACTTTGCGAGTTGCGTTTAATCTCGTGACGACGAGATATTTTGAAATGTAATATTTATTTTTGTGTTTGTGGTAGTTTATATATAAAAAAAGTCTGTAGAGAACAATTATACACGTATATAACATTTATATTTTTAAAATGCATGAGCTTTCATGAAATTCAACTAGCACACACTGCTACACGCAAACACACATTTCAGAGAGACGGAGAATAGAATTGAGTCCTTTGGACAGTGATCATGAGCCAAAATGTATAGTTTCGAAGGAGATTACAGACGCAGGCCACAGCAGAATCTGTCTGGTGCCAGCAGACGGGACGAAAAAGCTGTTTTGTTGCAACACGCGCAGCTGGAGAGGCTGAAGAGAGAACAGCAACGCAAAAAGCACAATGCCGCGTTGAAGTTGCAGGCGTGTGTACGCTCATTTCTCACAAGAAAGCTAGTTTACACGCAAAAGAGAGAGGAGTTCGATGAGGCCCAGCAAGCGGCCAATAGAAATCTGAATCTAGATGAACTTTTGTCATATCTGCAAAAGTTATTGTTTTTTTATAATCATTCAGTGGATAGCAAAAGACTAATATGGGTGCTACAGCATTTTCTGAAACATCAGAAGGAGATTAAATTCATGTCAATCAATTCCTCACAATGGTTGTGGAGATTACGGTAAGTCTCGAGAGAGATATGCACCGATCCAACTTTTTTTTAAAACGATACTTGATTTTGCTAATATCTACAGTTAAAATAATATGCAATGTTGTATATTCAATGCAGGTGGATTCTTCGCATGTGTATGCGATACGGCAACACGGAATCCGGTGGCGCGTGTAACTTGGCCATACCGTTACGTGTACTGGATGTGTTCACCTCGTGGGAGAAAACGGAGCAGGGGTTGCGCGAGAACAACTATCGACACTTGGAGAGTATATTCGACTACCTGATCCGGCACAGCTACTTCGAACAGCTTAGAAAGTTGCTTGATAAGAAAGTTCCACCAATGGTGGAGGCAACGCCGATTCCGCCTACAGAGATCTCGAAATGTCTGCTCGACATGATCAAACGGCCGTTAGATTTGATTCCTTACCAAATTTCCTATCAAAGAAATGTAGATCAAAAGGAAAGTTTTTCGCAACTCGTGTTGCGCGAGTTGTGCAGGAGCATGTTCTCGCCTAGACTGACGGACTCGATACGCATGTTCGTTGTGCCGGCTTTGGCGGAATTTAGAAACTTTCCGTACGTCCAGCTGATCGCCTGCATCAATCGACTTCAGCTGGAGTCTACGCTAAATTTGACGTACTGCGTTCTATCGTTGGACTCGTCCAATCATTTCTGTAAGTTTTAATCAAAAGAGTGTTCTGTAAGCTATTTTGCGAAAAGTAACTGTTACTGAACTCACTGTTCTTTCGCAGCACTATGTGAATCTGAGGACGCGTTGGTAAACTACCTGCAAGTGCTCGCGTCCCTGAGCTCGACTATTGTGCCACTGATGGCGCAGCAAAGTATCACGGAACAACAGCAGAATGACAGCGACTCGGACAACGAATCCAACGGCAGTGTGACCGATCAGGAACAAGCCGACATTCTGCAGCACTGCATAGAGATGCTGAACGAGCAGCAGCGTGTGAACAGACTGCTCTTGGCGGTTGAGCAGAGTCGAGTGGACTCTTCCGCGGTATTGCAACCGCTTTGTCGCCTGTGCCATCATCTGCTCATAACGAACAAGCTGGCTGTGCACAAGTACAAACTGCTCTACATGCTTGCTTTCAAACCGGTGTTTCTCAAACATCTGTGGACAAATCTGGTGGCAATTCGTCAGGTGTCGCTTTTCGGCGGCAACGCCGCTCCGTCGCTGTTGAAAATCATATCTCGAGGACTTGCCCTATCGACGGAGGACGCCAACAGAATAGTACCTCTATTAGCAGTGTTCTGCTCGCTGTTCAGTTTGCTGATCGCCACGCTGCACGACACCGAATTCTTCCTCGAGCATACGGAACAGACGCCCGACAACCAGCATCAGCAACAGCACGCTATGCCGTTTACCATCGCGGAACTGGCGGATCTGTCAGGTCAACTGAAGAGCGTTTGCCTGGGTCTGGTAGAGCTCGCATTTCCCGACACGCGGCCAACCGTGCGCGACGATTACAAGACTGCCGTTCTGGGCTCAACTTCTTCCACTCAGTTTCGACACGATACGCAGATCTGGACGCACTTATTCAAGGTCACGGTAGGTCTTTTGCGTCAGCTACACACGCGTGATCTCAGGCGACAGTTCTGCCCGGAAGGCCATTGGATCGCGACCAATGTCGTCATTCCTATTGACAAGCCACAGGACTTCGCGTTTCGACGGCGCAGACTGCGCGGGTACGTGCCCTTTCAGAACCTGCGAGCGTTTACAAGAGAGGAATTCGAGGAAGGACCGCCGCTCTCGGCAACGGAAGTGCGAACACTTACGTTGCTGCGCGAAATACCGTTTGTCGTGCCGTTCAACAATCGCGTAATGGTGTTCCAGTCGTTGATCTACAAAGACAAAGCGGAGCAGCAAGGTGAACTTACGCATTTTATGCAGGGCCCGTCAATACAGATTTCCGTTAGGCGAAACTACCTCTACGAAGACGCTTTCGACAAACTTTCGCCGGAAAACGAACCGGAACTGCGACTGAAGATGCGCGTGCAGCTGGTGAACACTGTAGGACTGGAGGAAGCTGGCGTGGACGGCGGTGGTCTGTTTCGGGAATTTCTGTCCGAGCTGTTAAAAACCAGTTTTGATCCCAATCGCGGTTTCTTCAAGCTCACCAAGGACAACATGCTGTATCCGAATCCTTCGGTGCACCTGCTGGTCGACGACTTTCCGAAGCATTACTATTTCATCGGTAGAATTCTAGGAAAAGCACTTTATGAAAATTTATTGGTCGAGCTGCCGTTCGCCGAGTTCTTTCTGTCGAAGATCGTTGGCCGCCAATCCGACGTGGACGTGCATCACTTGGCCTCTCTCGATCCCATTATGTACCGCAATCTGCTGTACCTGAAGAGCTACAAGGGCGACGTGGCGGATCTCGGACTGGACTTCACCGTGCTCAGTGACGAGCTTGGCGAGAGGCGGATCGACGAGTTGAAACCGAGCGGCGCCAATATTCCCGTGACGAATCACAATCGCATCGAATATATTCACCTGATGGCCGACTATAAGCTGAACAAGCAGATCCGCGCACAATGCTACGCGTTCAAGCAGGGTATTAGCAGTGTGGTTCCGCTCGATTGGCTGCAGATGTTCAACAACAAGGAGTTGCAAGTGCTGATATCGGGCGCGCAGATTCCCGTGGACGTGAACGATTTGAAATTGCACACCAACTACACCGGCGGATACGCGCCCGATCATCCAACTATTACTGCCTTCTGGAAAGTCGTCAATGAGTTCAACGATCAACAGAAGAGCCAGCTGCTCAAATTCGTCACGAGTTGCAGTCGCCCGCCTCTCTTGGGATTTAAGGTGTTGTCATAATCACAATTATGAGACAACTTGAATATTCTATTGTAATTCAAATCTCTAAAAGTGCATTTCTGTTGCTAATTATTGCAGGAACTAGATCCGCCTTTTTGTATTCAACATGCCGGCAGTGTGGATCGTTTGCCAACTTCCAGTACCTGCATGAACCTGTTAAAACTTCCCGAGTTTCCGGACGAGAAGATTCTTCGCGAGAAACTTTTGTACGCAATACAGGCTGGCGCGGGCTTTGAACTTAGTTAAAAAAAAAGAAAAAAAATACTTTTTTGATTTAAATTTCTGACCGACTCCAGTCTGACTTCTCATGTAGATATCATGTAATATAAGTGTGTTTTGTGGCGTATATTGCAAAAAAAAAAAAAAAAAAAAAAACTGAGGGGATATTCAATAAAGATTTTATTTACTACATTCTGCGTGGAAAAAGCTCAATATGGGATTACTGAAAAAGAAAAAAACACGGTGCAAAACAATGTTAATATTAACAGGAGGGGCCAATTAAATCAGCTACATCAGCACCAACTGATATCAGTGCCGATACACAACAAAGCTGTTTATTAAAAAAAGAAAAGATGGAATGTTTATAAAATAATATCGTGTACGAGTGTGTATTGTCTGTATGTGAGTACTCGTGTGTCTGCCTGTCTATGTCTAGATATTTTCTCAGTTCTGACTTTTCCTACCACTTTTGGCCTACAACTTGTACATTATGTATATTTATATTGTTTTATATTTACTATGTGATGTGTCTATTTCCAATATATATATACATATATATATATATATATATATATGACAGAATAGATGTATGTATTTATGAAAGATATTGTTAAGTCTGTGTAAATAAATCGTCTCAAAACGTTAGATATGTTGGCGAATTATTGATTAACATTTGTGTGGGTGAAAATATTCGTGATATCGATTGACTGAAAAAGAAAATGATCATAAGCCTGTCTACAGTAGACGACTTACAGAGGTTCCTATTACCGGTTCACACTCAGCCGATAACTATGTTGAGCGAACTAACTAGGATTGACTCAAGAAACGGAAGCATCGGGAATCGAACCGGAAATTCCCGTGAATTTCGAACAGAGACCACGGGACAACCAGTCAACTTTCGTACGATTTATCTTTGTGTTAGGTAAAAATTACTATTAAAAAGAAAAACTGTCATATGACTATTATTTGTTACTTTTTTCTAACTATATATGTTTGAATAAATCGCGCAATATTTCAAGCATTTGAAATATTTCAAAATATATAGCGTGCATTTATTGAGTTAACGAAAGATATAATCGCAACAAAAAAAAAAGGGATTATCTTGCATTGTTAACATTTCATATAAAATTATTTATTTATTTTCAATATGAACAAGAGAATGCAGCGAATATCGAAGAGTCACAGTTATCACCTTTTCATTTGCATATATGTGTGTGTGTATATATATATATATTTGTTTACATGTATACGAACATATAAATGCGCGCGTAAATTATTTGCGTCCCCTAATGTTCCCCTAAAGTTAACTTATGCATCGTTGATCTTTTTGTTTTTCATAAAGCTAAGATATACAGTATCTCTCTTTAATTTGACACTTTCTATCTTTATTTAAGTTACTTCTGTGCACTTAAAAAAATATTCAGTTTTAAAGTTGAGAGGAACTTTGAGTTGTCTAAGTTACAGAATAAATCAATCTGGCGTTTGGATAGAACATCTTTTTTTTTTTAAGATATAAAAATAGTGCGCATTCTTTAAACAAAATCGCTACTTTCGAATTTAATTATCTTTTTGTTAAAGATGCAAAATTACTCATATATCTTTTGGAAAACATCTTGTTATGCTTCACAGTTATGTTTTAAAATCTTAAAAGCGATTATATTCTTTTCCCGTAAATTAGACTTTTAATTTCTATATCTTATAAATATATATGTAATAATTTTGTACAATTTTATTTTCTTGTAGAAAAAAAACATCGGAAAAATAAAGATCTGCAAAGTTCCTTGAAATTGTCTCCTGGCAGGTATTGAATATATTTCAAAGCTCGCATAAGTCTGACAATTTGCAGATAGTCAGAAGTTTTATTAAATATGTGTGATGTTAGTGACGGCGCACATATGGATCATTCATTTGTAAACAATCGAAGATATTCACTTTCGACGCGACTCTATCAAGTCAATTCAGGACATAACTTGCAGTTTTACAATTCAAAGTGTCAAAAAGTACAAAGTTATGCGAACGTGAGAGTGCGTTTATTTGTGTAAAACTTCAAACTTATATATTTATACACAAGTTACATTGATATAAAAAAAAAAAACCCGATTAAAAAAAACCCCGCAAGTGCGTGATGAAAGTTATAGAAAAAAATCCTGCAACTCTTTTCGTTTAAGTTCCTTTTTCTGAATCGAAAGTAATTGATTCGCAACATATACAAACACTTCAAAGTATATTTTTACATTAATAATCGCAAAAAAAAATAGAAATTAAAAAATTAGTTCGCTATTTCGTGCAAAGAACTGATCATCTAAAAGATACTACTGTTTTCTTTAGAATCAAATTTTTGATAAAATAGCGACAAACAGTTTCGTCACTACTTAAAGTCAAACAATGTCCTGAATATGGCCCGGAGAAAGACAATCCTGCGAAGAGGGAAAGGTGTGCAAGTGATATATGTATACACACATGTACGTATATATGTGTGTGTACACATACACACACACATCTGTATAAATATAAAATATATATTATCGATTATAGTAGAATGTAGTACGTGAATTAATCGTGCGCTCGCAGTCTCCGATCTGGTCGATGTGCACGAGCATGACGTTTGGCCGTTTATAGCAGATTGCAGTAAATAAACGTAGTGGTAATATAGCGCACATTATCAGCTTCTTGTGTCGCACGGATTTTTCGCGCTATTTCGGGTTCTAAGAAAGCAGCTTGTCCTCGGGAATTGTCGGGCTGGTGACCGACGGAGCCGCAGACAAGCGCCTCATCGCCTCAGATTCCCGAAGTGCCTCGTCGAAGCTCTGCGTCGAGTTGGATCTCGAAGGCACAACTTTCGTCTGTAAAAAAAAAACAAATTAAATGTTTTATACACAAAAGAACAAAAATTTGAAGAAACTAAATTTATTAGGCCACGTACTAATAAATTTTTAAAGTTGAATTGAAAATAATTTTGATACCTTGATATTCTCGCAAGCGGATCCAACCCTTTCCTCCAACGACCGAAAACTATCGGAGTTGCGCATTTGGCCCAACTTCATGGAAATGCCGCTACCAAAGCCACCCAGAATGCTCGTTGTCTTCTCAGCCGTGGACTTGAGAACGGATTCTGTTTTTTGGTATCTGATATAACAGAAAAGTGAATGTTCATTATTAAAACTGAAAAGCGTCATCGGGCATGCAGGCCATCCTCTGTGAAAGTTAGACAGCGATTGTGTTAATTAAGTTCTATTTAGCATTGCACACAAAATATCTCAGGTGTTAGATGAAATTGTGCTTGTGTTGCGAGTTAGAGTTTAGAGTTTTTTTTTTAGTGTGAGAGGGATTGCGAAACCGGTTTATGTGCGTACTTACAAACTGTTCCCAGAGACCGTCCTGGTTAAGCGACCGAGTGTTTCACCAACGTTCTGATAACTGAATGAGAACCCAACCAAAAGTCAAAGAAATCAATGCTTCTACGTGTCTTCTGAAGAGCAAAAGAAGTGGATCGACATAAAAGATAGAGACGATTGCCGTTACGTCAATTTGTAGAAATAAAAATAAAGAACAAAGAAAAAAATAAGGAAGACAAATAAAACTCGGAGAAGAGAAACAAGCAAAAAAAAAAAAAAAAAAAATCCGCAATTTCTAAACAAAATATACGATCTTCTAATAACACGTAACGTAAACAATATTTTGCAAATGTATTTTCTTTCATCGTCGTGAATCCACTTCTTCTTGACGTACAAAATATAGCAACATATGTGTACAAGTGTGCATATAAAGACCGAAGTGACATGCGAAAGAAACGGATGAACGGCAAAAGACGTACACTTGACTCTCTTTGACGTTCTTGATACCCTGATTGACATCGTCGGTGAGCTCTTTCCAGACGCTGATGCCGAGCTTCCTCTTCAAATCCTGCGACACTTTGATCTTGTTCGCGAGAACGTGTCTCAAAGTCTGTATCTCTTCTTCAACCTGAAATCGTTGGTTAGTTTTTTTTATTCTCGGAAACTTTTATTCCGTGTTTGCGCGAATGAATTAAATCCTTTATCTCTTTAAGAAAATCGAGATTCTTACTCTCGCCAATTCGGCGTTCCATTCGGCTTTTTGTTGTTCCTGCTCTTCCAGGGAGAGACCTTGAAGCTCGTTCGTCACGCTGTCCGCCGGCGACAGGGAACCGGCCGAGTGAAGCGAAGCATCTTCTCCTGGAACAAAAGACATGGGACAAATTAGTCCCGGACATACGACACCGCGACAGTCATGCTGCGGTGCTCGAGAGTATAAGGTTTAATGTAATTCATTAAAATGAAACAGTAAAGTTACAATTACAGTCCAAGATTTTAAGACTGCAAAAAAAAAACTAAAGAATTACGTATTATATAATTTTGAAAGTGAAAATACGCGCAATAAGAAAAAAATATATGCACACAGATAATATCTAACGTCGTTAGGCGTTAAAATCTATCGTTATTACAAGGCTAAGATACCAGCCGTTAAAGTTGCCAGACGAAATAGTAGAACTAGTTACACAGATACGTATCCGGAGAAACCGAGTATCTTTAGATATTGCACAAGCGCACATTCTCCGCGATTTGAAGATGTTGAAAAATCGCAGATTATTACATATTTAAGTAGCGTAATAAAAAAAAAAAAAAAAAAAAAAAAACTATAAAGAAATTTTTAAGATTAAGTAGAAAATTACATTTTTGCAAAATTGAAGGAATAAAAGAAATTGAAAAGGTAACTATTTTAAATACCGGACCAAAAAAACAAATTTACGAATCGGTTCATAATCGTGATACTGGAACATTACTGGAAAACGATTAACTTTCGAACAATTCCGATTGTGTTTTCGCCGATTTCGCCAGATCGCGAAGGAATGCGCGGAGTCTCGCTGTTTTAGCGGAGCGAAACGTTGTCCTAGAAAAATTAAAAGCACGTTCCAACCTTGCTGTTACTCGCAACTCTACCAGTTATCGCATACTTTCATACGAAGAAGAAATATAAATAAGCTTCTTTCGATTATACTCAGGGCTTCTTTTTTTTTTATTAAACATTAATTTTCAGAACTCCTGGGTGTTTTATTTAATATTATTAATTGTTATTATTGAATTATATACAAATGGCAATAATCTTAAAACGTCTTCGAAGCAATGATTTGATTTTTTCTTCTCTTCGACACCTTTTACTAACTCCAGGAACTTCTTGTAATTCTGACTGTTGCTGATCTTGGCGAGGTAGGGTTTAGAGAGGTCCTGGAAGATAACGCGGACGGACCGTCTCTTCTTTTTGCGACCGTCCTGCGATCCTTCTTCCTGCAGAAATTCCGTTTCGATGGACAAATTGCCGTCGTCCACGACGATCTCGTCGATCTCGCCGTTCGAGTCGCGCCAACAATGGACCACCAGCTCGTCCGTCTCTTCGTCGCCCAACTCGTCGATGTCGTCGAAACTCGGCGTGGTCGTCAACTTCGAATAATACACGTCTTCTTCGTACTCCAACGACTCGAATTCGTGTTCGTTCTCGCTTGGACAATCCTCGCCGTGGTCCTGGCAGGATTTTCTCTGCGACTGATTGGATTTTTGATCCACGGACTGCTTGGACTCTGCCATGTTGTTCCTCATCGTCTTCTTTCGTGATGAGCGTTCACACGTGTTCTCGGTGAATGACAGAAACGAGCCACAGAAAGCGTTTCAAAAGAAGATAGCTTCTAGATCCGACGAGTCATTTGTGACTCTTTTTTCTTCCACGTCGCTTCTTTTCAAAAAGTGTATCACAGAAAAATTTACTCAATTACGCAATGCTTCAGCAAAGCACATTAAAAAATATTTGCAATAAAAAAAAGTAAAAAGTTTCTTATTTTTATATTTCTTATTGCTATTTTATTTCGCTCTTCTTCGCAGAAGAACAACTTTGATCACAACGAGAGTTCAACGCGATAAAAAATCAAGAGATTTAAATGAGATCCATTGGTGTTTATAAAACAATACTTGAAACAATTGCAACTAAACTAAACTGAGTCACTACAATTAATTGATCACAAAACGCACATCTCACTACGTCACATCACAAGAGCTACGTGTGAATGTATTGTTCTAAAAAAAAAAAAAAAAAACAAACAAAGTTCACGCAACCGGATCTAGCTCAGGCGGAATCAATTGCCGATTTAACGTGATCGACGCATGATGCGACAAATAACTTCGCAATCTGTGCATTCGAACGATCATAATTCGCGAACGTTTGACCACGTGCGACACCGACGCACGCACATACGACTAACAGCTGTGTCTCTTGGAAAACGGCGTTGATCGCAAAGGCGCCATCGCGTTTCAGAGAAATCGAGACGTGGCTCTCTCACTCTTCAGCGGAAAAGAAAGAAAGAGAAAGGAAGCGAGGAGGAAAGCAAAAGAAGGGAGAGGGACAGGTGGCCTCGGTTCTTCAACAAGCCGCAACACAGCGGCGTTTAATTTATAAACAGATACTTGTAAAACCCGCGTCGTGCTCAATAAGTCGTGTTTTTAGTATTAATTTTTTTTCTTTGCTTACGTGATTACAGAGTATGTTATTCTTGTGCTCAATTTGAGATGCAGATTGCATCTTGTCAGAGATTAGCTTTAATTAAGAAATCTCCGTCAATTGCCGCGCCGAGTTCTTTGCGTTCGACCAGTTGCGCTTGTTCATTTATATTTCGAAAAATGTTTGAGAAATATTTATTATAAAATATTTGACAAGTGTACACTCTCTCTCTTTTTACACGTTGAAGAATAATTACAACAATATAGACGTAAGAAGTGGGTAAAGTGGATAGCGAATGCATAAAAAAGAGATAAAGAGAGGAAAACACCGAGCGCAGTGTCCGGAAGTTTGATTGGTTCGCCGACTTCGTCTAGCTCTATTCTGCTTGTTCTTTTGATCGATAAAAAAAAACAGCCGCGGAAGCGTGACGAAGATAATAAAAGTTCCTGAAACTTCGTAGAACCTTCGCCGCAAACCGGTTTATCGATCCGAGTCGGGAAAGAATTTTTAACCGTACTTAAAGACGCGCGCTTAGTAGCCATCTGATTCGCATTGACTTGCGATTCTTTCTCGGATCAATACGAAAATTGGACTTGTGAAATGTGAATCACAACTGTGTCGAGTAAAACTGGACCGAGAGAATTAAAAGAGAAATATGCGGATATATAATTAATATAATGTAAAAAAAATTTAATGAAATAATAATTTTAGATGTGAAAATTTTGATAAATTGCGATTTCGTTAAATATGAGCTGCTCGCGCCACATTCTCACTAATTACTAGCGAGAGAAATCTAACTGTTTTTGAAGATGAGAGAAACATTTGCATTAAACGATGCGACGAAATTGAAAAATTGATTCTAAACGGTTATGATATTTTTAAATCTCCAGGACTTTCGGACAGGAGTAACGAACAGGCGGAAACGATGCGCGTCTTGTTGCCAGGGTTCTTCTTCTAATTGGTGCAGCTGTACCTGCAGTAGAATTGCGATCTATTTATATCTTTTACATTCTATTTATAACGTTGTTTGTGTTCTATTTCTACAGAAAAAAAACCCACTTTCGCACGTAGAACTGCAAATTTATTACAAATTTCGTATTTTTAAGAGACCAGTTCCCCGATTATCTTAATCGATTGATTAATTAAGCGGAAAAAAATCGCGCGATGATCGACACGTTTGCTCAATCGATTAAGCTAAAATCGAAATTCGTCGAATTGAAGTCCAGCGATAATTTGTTTGTAACAACATTAATACACGCAATATAACACATACATATGGTGCTTCGAGTCACTCACACATACATGGTAGTTCGGATCATTTCGTTAAAAGTCCCGTTCCATCACAGTTATTTACTTGTTTTTGTATCAATTTATACGTTCCTCTCAATTTCTTCGTTTTAATAAAAATTCAATTAACTTCTGCTCAATTAAAAACTATATGCAAATTAGCTATTTAAAAAAAGTTATTCTCGTTATTTGTTCTTATAAATGTTCCATTCACAAAAATGATTTGTTATTATAATTGTTTGCCTCGTTTGATATTTGTTTGCGTCAAAAATCCGCTTAAATATGTTTACATTATAATTCATTTGGGAACACTTTTGAGACATTTTTATATTTTATGAAAATTAGAGCTGGTGGTTCTCTTCGGAAATACATTTTTCTCTGAAAGAAGCTTCTCTGTGAAATTTTTATGAGATAAAAAAAATGTAGAACACGAACGCTTTCGGAAGTGTTTTGTGGTTTCACCACAATTCTTGCGGAAGGAGATGTCGAGAAAACTTTGGAAGATCAATAACGTAGTATGCAACTAAACGGTACACAATATAACGCGCAACATATGATGAGGTAAGATCGTCGCTAATTTTGCTGAGACACATAATCAAATTACAAAACTGTTCGCCTCAAAACCGGAACGCGTTTAATACGGATGTGAAATGTGCTTAAAAAAGCAGCTTTGAGTATAATCCAATTAGCGGGAAACACGGCAGCACGGTGAAATAAACGCAGTTGGAAACGCATATTGATAAGAGCGCACGAGTTTACAAGGTCGTTGCTGGAAACGTCAAGATAAATGCATAACCATAGGTTAGAGTCTGACGGTTTCATCATCATTTCGCAGAGTGTCTTTAAATCCTTATCAGCAACTGCCGATCTTTCGCGCACGCGTGACAACGACGTGCTTCAAAATACTTGCAAGTACAAAACGGAATTTTGCATTAAAAAGAAAAAAAAACTCAATCGGATCGGGGATAAGAGAAACGTACGGGCGAGAAGCCGATGATCTCACCTGTTGGAACGTTGCTCATTTCAACAGCCTGTGTGTTGTGGAACTGCGGTAAAAATGATGGATGATCGTTGGTCGTGCGAGAGACGTCACCCTACGCGAATCGGCAGCTTGAAAAATCAGTTCGCCAGGAAACGAGAGACAACGATCCCGGGAGCACGGAGCAAGAAATCAAGTCAACTTCGTGTCTACCGTGAACTGGCCGAATGCTGGCGGCCATATTGAAAATAAGAGCGTAGTTGCCGCCGTCTAACGACCTCCGATCGAAGCTTTCCGTGTTTTTAAAAAGACAGAGATATATACGTACATTGTATCATTGTAAAATCTTTATTTGATAAATTAATTGTTAAATGTTTGAAATAATTTTCAAAAGAAAAAAAATACTAATAGACAATATAAATTTTTCAATATACGCGAGGAAGAAATCATCAAGCCAGATGCGGGTGATGTTGCGATATCGCAACGAAATCGCTCACGAAAGTGCGCAGAGAAACACGCGTGAAAATTGTTTTTTAACAACATTTATTTCTAATACAGCTTGTTGTCTTTATTTTTTTTTTGGTTTTTTATTTACACACGGCGTGATCTATGCAACGCAAACACAACAGATCCTATATAAATTATTTGCGCGATCATAACAATAATAAAGTATCTTCGCAAACACGCGCACACGCACGCATACATCACGCATACAAAGAGGCATAAAGGAATATCGTCGTTTTTTTTTCTTTTTTTTTTTTTTTTTTTTTTTTTTTTTGTTATCACCGCATATCATTATCATCGCGTCGTCACAATACGAGCGACAATCAATCGAGTCATTATTTTACGCGCGGAAGCGAAGAGATCCTATCGGGTGTAGATACTACACTATATGTGTGCATTACATGTGTTATTTATTTATATGTATATATTTATATTGTAAATCGAGTTCTGCGGAAAATTGATGCGCTCGTATATACTCGAAAACTACAGGTTCAGGTTTGCTCATCAGCCGAGAGTTGTCGTTTGCAAACGAACAGTTCGGCGCTGCCGAATGTTGTGTTATAGCTAAATTTTCAACAGAGCGTTAAAAACTATTTCAACAACACTCAAAAGAATTGAAATTGAAAAAATACCGAATACGCTTGGAACATAATGGAAAATCTTAAATTCTACAAAGAGACGTAAACCTGACCGATCCCCCTAATGATGACTATAGCGTAATTTAAGACGCAAACGCTTTCCCATCAACAATTTAACTCTTTGCGATTCAGGTTATCTTCGTCGTTTCAACCGGTCCGCGCAAGTTCGGCTACTTTTGCGTAGTTATATAAAAAAAAAAATCACAGGTAGTTGTGAAGAAATAAAAAAAAAAAAAAAAAAAAATCAGTATCCTCACGTGTAGCTCTGCATTATTAGAAAAAAATTTTTTTTGTTGAAATTGCCAGCACCGGAACGAAGTTGGAAAGTTTGTCCAGTCAGACTCGACTCGCAAAGGGTTAAAACATTTTTGGTTCTTCGAAAAGCCCAACAAATTATTGTCGTCGTTCCTAAACTAAGCTTGTTACACACAACGCACACACAAATACGCATAATAAGTTGATTATTAATTCTAATAAGCATCTACGTGTGCAAAACATTTATATCTACAGTTGATCGGAAGCGACAAGTGTATTTCGGCAAGCACGCGCTGAATTCTTTTCGTCCCGCATTGGCTCTCTCTGTTCGTCTTTTTTGATGTTTTTTTTGCATTATTGTGTATTGAAGCAGGAGATCTCCTTGAATCTTTCCGACATCGAAACAAGGTGTGCGAATCCCCGGAACATCGCTTATATATCATTTAAAACATTTTGGCATTTTCCTGAAGCTCTTGCCGACTCTAAAATCCAACGAAAGTTAACGCAATTATACACAAAAGTCTATCGTAAACAATTATTGCTTGTTTAGTACGAAGCTCGTTCGCGCGAAAACTCGTTCGGCCTTGCTCTCTTGATCTCGACACAGATGTGTCACATAGATACGCTGTATGTATTTACACGGGAGTATCTACGAAATTCCTGCTCAAATAAATTTTTTTTTTTTTTTTTTTTAATCTGATATAATCTTTGATAAATCTCTACTCTCTTTCCATTCTATTTGCCTCTAGCAAATTGATACGTGTACAAAATCTGCACCGATAAGAAATGATTCGCTTCTTGAGAGAGATTTTAAAAATTTATAATTTTTCTCAAATAATACTCTTTTGCGTGTGTGCGTATGACGTGTAAGCGCCTAGGGAAAGAAGCAACCCCGTCGTATACAGGAGCGTGTAATGGGTTGTCCGCTTTACAGGCGTTACTCAGACACTCGGCGAAGTAGCGGCGCGTCGGGAACTCCGTGAAATCACTCTGTGTATAATTTGTGTATATAATTTACAAAAATATTGTAAACTTAAAAACATACTTAATAATACATAATATAACGTACTTTAATTACAGATCAGGTAGATAGTTAATAGAAATGTAGAATATAGAGATATATATGACGTTTGTTTTCACATTGTGTTTGTTAAATATTTTATGCTACGACGTTTATGCCACGTGAACCGCATCGGTGACCTACAGTGGACTTTCCACTTAGGCCAGAATACGCTGTCAAGAAATATTTCATATCATAATTATAACCCAGAAGGTAATTGCCATGTCTAGAGTTTACTCGTAGATCGGCTCGGCGATTCACGCGAGAACGAGCAGGTTGTTTAAATAACAATTTCATCCATTTTCAACACAGAGAACTGCTGAATTAAATCTTAAATCAGATTGATGAGTTTTCGTACTAAGATTTTAAAAATAAATAAATTGTTTTATTAGAATCAACTGTAGGAACTAAAGAGAATTTTTGTCATCTCTTATCGGTTTTCTTTTTTCAAACGAGGATGCCCTACGAAGGAATTATTTTTACGGTCGTTCGACCTGGCCTCTTATAAAAATAGAGTCGGAGCTTTGTGAAAGAGAGTGAGAAAGAGAGAGAATACAAACTAAAGGTATGTATATGTATATGTACGAACATTTGAAAAGCCTAAATGTCCCTGATTCCTAATATCATCGAGTCGTTCTCTTCGTTCGGCATGAGAAAAAGCTCTCTCTCATCAAGTTTTCACCTTTTGACGAACGTGGCAATTCTCACGCGATTCTCGTTTTTTTTTTTTTTTAAACTGCTCACAAATGTTGTAATTGTGTGGTTTACACATCGACCTCTAAAGACGTCTATGCTCGATCTACGCATCTTCTGTCCTTTTAGGCAATGTATTTATAAGTTTGCACTAAAAACACCCAGTTTACCAATTGTCGCGGACTCTAATAAAAATCCGGTTTTAGAAGATGTCCTCGATGTCGGTGTAATTACGGTCCCAATATCCGCCCTGATAGATCCAATCTTCTTGGCCCGTGTAAGGATTTATGCCGGATTGGAACCATCTGTGGATCAATATCGGGAATTAATTGAAAATTTGTTTCAATTGTTTTGGATCTTTCACGTCAGTTTTCTAAATTTTTACCTAGCAGCGTATTCTTGTCCCTTCTTGTGTTTACGCGCTTTGCGAGTGTCTCTCTGCTTTTCTTCAAGCCTGGCCTTCTCAGATGCGGCTCCGTCCTGATCGCCCATTTCCAACTTGCGAATGTCCGGCCTCAATCTGGAATCGGTTGGACACAGCATCTTCTTCATCTCGGGTTCTATCTCGTTCAGCGACATCGCAAACGTCGTAAACTGGAAATACTGTAAATCACATTGATTTAATTAATACGCGAAAATAACTGAATAGTCAATCTATATATTGAAACTTGCAATTAATTTGATAAACAGAATTTTGCGTTAAGTAATTAAAACTAACATTCGAGCTATTGCTGGGCCTCGGCGTGACTTCCCACAACGTGAGAGATCCTGGAATTTCGTCCACCATTGGCGTGTCTTCGCCGTCTATAGAAGACTCGTCCACCGCGTCCTTGAAACAAGAAAAACACACAATTTATTTTATAAAATAATGTAAATAATAAAAATAAAATACAATTTTAGTGTTTAGAGGAAAATGGGATTTTAACTTTTGAATCAGAGGGAGAGACATTGTTCAATACCTGATGCAGCGGTTTGAAAGCTCCGACTTTGAGACTGTGAAGTTTAGCTAGAACCTTTTTGTGCCCTGGACTGCCCTGCGGACTTTTGGCCTCTAATTTCGCTTTTTCTAACGCTTCCTCGTAAAACGAGGGTTCGCAAGAGCGCAACCGTTCGGTCCATTTGCCGTAGAGAAAAAGTAATCTTCTTTTTCTAAAACAAAAAAAGCGAATAACAAAACAAATATTCAATTTTTTACTCTACATGAGAAAAGCTACCAGATAAAAAAAATAAAATTTATATACAATTGAAAACTTTTTAATCTAAAATAAACTACGATAAAAAAAAAAAAAAAAAAAAAACTCACTCTTGATCCGTTATGAAACCTTCAACGCGATGAAGATCCTTGCCGTTCCAGGTACCGCTTTTAAAAGCCAGTTTAACTCTCAGATTGTCCCCTCCGTGCTGTCGTATTTCCAAAGCGCCTAACTGCTCCATCCACAATTGTCCAACCAGAACATTGTGAAGGATACAATTGACGTTTTGCCAAGTATAAGCTTCCTTCCACCTATTCAAGCACATCTATTAAGGCCGAGGTCCTTTTAAAAAGTTATGTACCTTCAATAAAGTGTGTTCAATAACAATTAACTATATAAAAAACAATAATAATTAAAACGTAACTTGTGTGTGTGAGAAATTCTCTTAAATATCAACTATTGGTAAATCTTTTAATAGTAGTTTAGAAAAATAAATAATGTGCGATAAAAAGAGTAAGAGTATATCGCAACATTGCGTGAAGTAAAGGTATATTTAATTTGTGTTTTATTATTTTATCGGACAAACAAAACAATTAGAATGTGAATTTACGACGGTAATTGAATAAACTTACTTGGGCAATTCGACCGTGACAATTCCTTTCGGATGCACCTCTATCGATTTTCCCCAAAATTTCAGTTTGGGATGAATGCTGCCGTGAAAGATAAAGTCTTCGCTATCGGCGTAAAACGCCGACACCGGTGGATGATGCGAGACTTGCTCGCATATTATTCTACAAAATACAATTTAAAAACACTCGCTTTAAAAAAAATTTGTATAAATATGAAGAGAGAGAGAGAGAGAAAAGAAAAATTTTATGTGAAATTGTATCGTTCTAATTAATAAAATATTAATAAAGAGTACGTATGTATTTACCGGAAGTCCTCGCGTTCCAGTTCGTACGTTTCGCCTAAAATCGGATTGAAGGGTTTTCCAAGACGTTCCCAGTTAGAAGCGAGGGCACTCACAGCGAAAGCCGCGACGTACTGTATGCAACAAGGTCGGTAATTTCATTTATTAACACTCTCGCGCGAAGTTTACCAGCTAATTTAATATGTCTTATTAGGTTTCGCAAGCATGATATATTCGTTGCGCACCTGAAGCCTCGAAACCGGCAACTCCTCCTGGGACGCCTGCTTGAGAAGTTTGGCATATTCCATGTACTCGGCGACCCGTTGTAGAAAAGAGAGAGGCTCATTAAAGATGACCGGCATGGTGATCTTGCTCAGATCTTTGCCCAGCGTCAGAACCGAGCAGAGATTTACTTCGGAATGACCCGGAACTGGTAGCGATGTTCTTGAAAAGTAATGCGAAATTTTTGCGTATAAACGATGTGCGCGAAAAACAAACAGACGAAAACAGAGAGACCTCCGGAGATAATTTTTAATTATCTAAGTTCTGTGATGTGAAGCAAAAAAAAATTGCGTAAGTGCGAGAGAAAAAATTTAATTCTCGAATATAAATCCAATGCTATAATACCTATATTGTTTTGATGGTTTTTCGCTGGCCATTGTACAGATCTCTTGTGATTATCGAGCGTCCTGGCGATGGCAGGAGCTTCCAATCTGTCACTCCGTTGAATCGATACTTCGATTTCCACCGACATCGACCGGCAATATTATAACACGGCTTTATGATTTATTAAAAAATGCATGAAGATCGGTAAATTCTTTGACCGCATTCTTCTTAATTGAAGAGGACTACAGAAAAGAGGTCTTGGAGATTACAACGTATATATATATATATATTTGATTCTCGAAAGGCTGTATTTATCCGTTCAAACGCGCTCTATAAAAAGCGGATGCTTCCGTGAACTTGCAAGACGGTCGGGTCTTGGAAAATGTGCGATGTTCGAATCGTTCGATCTTTGTGTGAAAGTGGGACGAAAAGAGACGGAAGGAGAGTGCGCACTGTAAATGGACCATCCGATTTTCCGAGATAAAGATGGAGAGAGGGAGACAAAAGAGATATTTTTGTCTTGCTACCTCGGCGACATCCCGACGCGATTGTGTTTCTCTTCAAAGCTCGCTTTCTGTCTCTGTGAAGTTTTAGATGTCGTCACTCGCGGAGGATCCGGTCAATCTCATTCACAACACAATCTCGTCATTATTTGCCCGTAATAATCAGCAAAATTACTTAGAGAAATGGGAGCTCTCCAAATAAAAAGCTCGGCTACGTTTTTACAAAGCGAGATTATTTCGCAAAACAATCCAAGGCTTTTTCCGAAATGAAACCAAATGTTTTTCGAAAGAGTCCGGAAACCACAGGACGGTCTTCTTCACCACGACGCGGCTTATTTGATGCTGGTCACGCGATCAGCTGTACGACTGAAGACTGTTGAGCTTGCGGGTGTGACGGCGAGAGGGTTGCCAGTCTCGAGCTTTTCGAGCAAATATCAATACATCCGAGCATGACCGTTGAGTTTCCCAGCTTTTCCGTTGGAGCGCTCGATTGATTCGCTCGCAGTCAGAGACAAGCCGAAAAAATAAAGTTGCGCGCGTTTAAATTTACAATTTTGGAACAGATTGAAAGTTCGTTGGTATTTTTTTTTTAAATCACAATATACAGATCGGTACTAAAAAAATTAAATCTACTTATATCTCAAAATTCGCACACAACCGTCTCTTCCGATAAAATATGTAAAACCCAATAGCTAATAATTGATTGTGCTTATTTTTAGACGAATATCGCTCTTGCACTCAATCAAATATGCAAAACATTATTTAACTTCCTCTAATTGCAAAATATGTTTAATCGACGATTTATTTATGCACACCAGATGTATATAGGTGTATGTACACTGTTGAGGATTACACAATGCTATCTTCATTGCGTGCAGTTTAGATACAATTGATACGAGACACGCAAGAAAGCGCATGTACTCGAGAATCATTTAAGAGAATCTCAAGATTTTAACCAATAAAAACAATTTTTTCTCTATATTGCGATCCGAAGAAAATCTTGAAGTTGTTTCTTGAGCTTTAGATATTTCTTCGGTTTTTTTTTTTAATATTTTTTTCATTTTGATTCTTAAAATAATTCTTAGTAGTTTAACGGTAAAGTTTTATATTTATGTTTTTATACGCGCTTACTTTTTTAAATTAAAAAACAAAATTATAAATTCTCTTTCTCCGTCAAAATTGGGCAGACAGCCCAATATGTAATCGAATCATCCTCCTTCCCATCCACTTATTTTACGAGACCGTTGGTCTTTTCACAATGAGTTCAATGTCCCACGAACACATCGCGAACGACTCGGAATAAGAATAAGCCGAATCTCTATTGATTTACTTGGAAACCAAATCGATATCCGTACGAGGTACAGGCGCTCACTTCGTTTCTGATCGGCCAACTTTCCTCGGCTCGTTCGTTTGAGTTCGTCACCCGTTCAACAAACTTGCCAAGTTCTTGTCCAAATTGTTGAAAGCGTTTTTTTTTTACTCAAGAAAGCACCGCGCTCTTGCAAACGAGGGTCTGCATCCGCGCAGTTTCCCGAGATCTTCTGCGATGTGAAGACAACAACCGTATACGTGTTTGTTTATCAAAGTTTGATATCTGAGTGTTGTACGAAAAAAAAAAAAAAAAAAGTTCTATTCACGTGTAAAAAAAATTGTTTCTCGATACGAAGAAACGTCGTAAACAATTCAACGTCGTCAGAATGCGCGGTGAAGAGGCTGATCCGATTGCGAAAGATGAAAACATAAAAATTGCCGAGGGTCTTCAAGAATCTTTGAGAGAAACGGAAGAGAAACCCGCGTTCTGCAAGTATCACTCGAAACACGCAAAGCTGTTTCCGGAATTGTATCGCAGCGATGTGTCAATTCATCCCAGCTACACCGGCTTGAAGAGTTTGCCTTAGTAAGAGCTCAATTAATTAATTAGCACACGAGTGTAACAAATAAAACAGGTTTTGTTCACACACACATACATACACATACACACACAATACAATTAAACATTGTCATTCTTCAAGCCGAGTGATCTGCAGGAACCGCGTGCAAAGAATCAAACGACAGGCAACTCGGCAGCTGAATCGCGAGATCGCGCACTTTACCATGATCCAGATGTTTGCACTCGACGGCGTCAGAATCGATCGCGTTTTCAGCGTCGGCATGTCGCCAAAGATGTTAATTGTGCCAGATCCTTTGACGGACAAAGAGAGACGTCATCTGAATGAGCTACTTCGAAGTCCTTGAAAATATTATTTCGCGCGTGGAGAAATCAGCAAGAACAAAATAAATCATTTTATATGTGTTATTATTATTATCTCTGTTTTAATAAAACAAAATAGTATAATTATATTATAATAAAATGTATTGATATATAACTGATATTATAAATACACTCACAATTGCTGTGATAATCGATCGATGTGTGTGCGTGTGTGTGTGTGTCGACATTTTTCACTTTTTCAGTTTATAAAGGTCATTAATAAAAATACTGGGATAAAAAATAATATAAACACAATTTTAATTAAAAAATGTCACAAGTTATTCTTCAACCGTGTGTTTTTGTTCTAAAGATAGGATATTGGCGTTTAACGAGAACTAATTCGAGAAACAAAGGAATAAGATCGCGGTGCGATATTTGTCAAACGGGAATTTTTAATCGCCGGGAATCAAGAAGAATTCTTCGCAATATGTTCCGAAATACTTATCAGGGCAGTTTTTTATCTATCTTGTACAGTTGCGGATCCTCTCCTTTGGAATTGTGGGGCATGCGTGTTAGGCTTTGTTAAAATCTATATATCAAATTATACGTATATAAAGTTACGAAGATATCGAAGCTATCGGGAGAGGAATCGGTGTGTGTGTGTGTGTGTGTGCGTGTGTACAAATGTGTGTTTTGTGCGTGTTTAGGTGAGAAATGGATACATACGAAGAGTCACGGATGAGGAGATAAAATCGTTAGCGTTGGAAGTATCCGGCACCAATGTGGCTACAACTTACATCTTCTGTCCGGCAGATCCGAAAAAAGTGCTCGCTATCAGGCTACCGTTTCTCATCATTATTATCAAAAACATGAAGAAGTATTTCACATTCGAGATAACAGTAAAGCTCTCCTTCATTTTCGCTCCTTCTTTCCCGCGCGTATGCAAATAATATTATGTAAATAATACATAAATAAGGCTTTCATTTTTTTATCTTCAAGAAATTTTTATTTGCGTGACATAATTTTTGTAAGATTTTTTCTAAGATTTCTAAGATTTTCTAAGATTTCTTTTTTCTAAGATTAAGTTGGATTTGTTTTTAATTTTAGAATTTTTAATGATTGTTGAATTTGTCGACATTTGAACAGATATTGGACGACAAAGATATGCACAGGAGATTCCGTGTGAGCAATTTTCAGAGCACAACGCGCGTCCGTCCGTTCTGCACGTCCATGCCCATCGGTCTCGAAAACGGATGGAATCAGATTCAATTCAATCTGTGCGACTTTACGCGACGCGCGTACGGCACAAATTACATTGAAACCACCAGAATGCAGATCCACGCTAACTGCAGGATCAGAAGAATTTACTTCGCCGACAGGCAAATTTTGATTCGATTGATTTCTTTAATCGATAAGAAATCAAACGACTTTATACACTTGCACGTGCCAGAAATTATAGATCGAGCGGTAAGCGATTGTTCTTTTTCTAGGCTTTATTCGGAGGACGAGTTGCCGGAGGATTTCAAGCTCTTTTTCCCGGTACATCGAAAGAAATGCGTCAGAGAAGAGATGGTGTTGAAGAAACCCAGTATCGTGCCTGAGCCACCACCTATTGTCGCGGAAGAATTACCTGTTGAACCAGAAATAGAAAAACCGATTGAGATGATTTCAGAGGAAATTGATTTAGCAGAAGTCGTGTCTGAAATGTATCCAGAAGAGGAAGAAATGTATTATGAAGAGGAGGAAATATATCGTGAAGAGGAGGAAGAAGAGGAAGAGGAGGAAAGAGAAAAAGAGGAAGAGAGAGAAGAAGAGGAAGAAGAAGAAATAAAAGAGACTGAGGAAGTTGAGGAAAAAGCTCCACTTCCTGATGAAGAGACTGAACTTGAAGAAAAAGTAACTGAACCTATAGAACCACTTCTCGAAGACGAAGACGAGGAAAAACTTATAGCTGCAACTTTAGAAGAAGAGGATACAAAAGCTGAGGATGAAGAGTAGATAAGACGTAATTTTACAATAAATGGTCATCGCATATTTGAGATCTTTTTATGCCTTCTTATTTTTGTGCACATGTGTATGCTTTCTCACATTTTCCGTATCATTTTATATATTTAAAAATTTACCAAAATTTTAAATACATTTGGGAAATATAGTAATAATTGAACGCAAAAACAATCAAGAATTGGAAAAAAAAAACTATGACACGTCGTAATCTTCATCTTCACGTTTTCTCTTTAACGTTTCGTCGGTTTCCATCTTCACAACAGGTAGGGTCTGGCCCGAGGTAATTTGTATTTTTGGTTTTGTTATTTGCGTTTTTACAGTTGCAGTGCTTGTCGTCGCTGTAAAGATATTCAAATTTAAACATGAAAACTTTTCGATGTAAACCACAATTTCGTGGTTAAATTCAATTAATATAATTTCACACAAATTTACTTCAAAAAATGTATGATTAAAAATTTTGTATCAGTTTTCAAGTTTATAAATTTTGTTGAATGGAATAAGATGTTCATGTGTGTGACATCTTACTTGGTAAAGTTCTACAGGACACACGATATGGTATGGAGGAATGAGATTGCAGTAGACGGAGGGGAACTGTGGAAATGGGATTCAAAAAAAACAAAATTGGATATTCAGTACATTAAAAATAATAAAATATCATAATACATAATAACATTAATTTTTATTGATGAAAAAATAGCAAAATAAAAACATATATTACCTGTAGAGAATTTCAACACTGGTTTTGGTATGGAAATACTTTGAGTTCTCGCAACAGTAGTGAGTGTGCCAGGCCTTTTAACAATTGACACACCAGCCTTACTCCCTTCTACCTTTGGCCTTGGTTGACCAGACTGATTATTGCTCACCAAAGAATGTGCAGGTTTTTGTATAACCTTTTTTGTCACATTCTTAAGTTTGTAATTTGTTGAATTTAAACAATAACGATCAGGTGGTAATCTAAGACCATTACTTGGCTTGACAAAAGGCAAAGGGATATTATTCTTTTGACGTGCTACGTCTAACAAGACATCTCTTGGCGGAGGATTTGTGAACGAACGCTCTAACTGCATTTTAACCGCCAATCTAACGTCGTCCAAGTCGATAACCTTTTTCTTGGCGTGATTGGCATACACTCTACTGTCATCTAATATACATGTGACGTATCCTAAAGAAAAAAACTTTCATTTAGTACGATTGTTTGAGTTTAATTGTTGAAATCTAGACGATCCGATAAATAAAATAACATAGAATCTTAAAATAATAACCCAATACGGTAAAGCACGTGTTTTGTGTTATGAAAAACACAAAAATAATAATTCAAATTTACAACATAACCTTGTAAATTGGAAAACTCTTTAAGGTTAGAAAATACGTGAAAATCAATTTTTAAATTAATAATGTGACGTTATACTGTATGTAAAATCAAGATTTATCTTGCTGACACTAAAATTGTTAAAATAAATAAAAAACAAAACTTACGATATGTGAATTCCAACAACTGATTAATTACTTTCGGCTCGTAATCAGTTATTCCCATGTCTTTCATTATTGACATGATAACTTGGGCGTCCTTAGGAATATGCTTAATGTGACTCATAGGTTTTGCTTTTTCTGTCATTTTGTAAAAACGAAAATAATCTCTCTTTTAATTGAAAAATACTCGTTGTAAACACTACGCACGTCACACAAACAAACCTATTTAGATTCGTCGTGATTCGGCGCTTCACTGCGCTCTTACATATGTATATAGTGTATATACATGAAAATGATTACCAGCACACGCGCCATCGCGCGCCGTACGAGCAAACTATATCTATTTGACGCGTGCGCCAAACAGCGTGACTGATCACGTGATTGTCTGCGAAAGAGTTCAAGATAGTTCAAGTTGATTTAGATGCGACTTAAGAACGAGGTGCGAAAATTTGAAGAAATTGTTGACTATCGACGCATTTGTCCACTCTGCCGAAACGTCAATTACATAACCGATCTCGCACGTTTGACCAAAAACTATTGCTGAACATTCTGAACTATCACGTGGCCGAAATCGACGCAACGATATTAGTACAACAGTACGTCAGGTATGTAATTATAAGTTTGTTCTCATTCTCGCGATCGTCGATTATCAGGTATCAAACTCAATTTCCTTCTTTTTATAAAAAAGCATATAAATTTTTATTAAAACTAAATACAAAAATAATAGTTACATTTCTTCATCGTCTTGTGTGTCTAAAAATCTCTAAATTGCTATGTCGGCCGGTTCGCGTCACTCAAAATTATTTCGATAGCGTACACACTTGTGAGCAACAGAGTGAAGAGTATCTTTAGCCGAAAGATCGTATGTAGAAGGTGTTCTTTTTCTCATGTATGTTATTTTTTTTAAGTGTACAAATTAGGTTTTGAAAAAAAAAACATGGTATACGCGACGATTTTGTACAATCATCGTGTTTCTCTCTTGCACTTTTTCTCTCTCTCTCTCTCTCTTTCTCTCTCCACAGGACGGAATTTGTTAAGCGCTCAATACAATGGCGCAAGACGATCGACATCGAGGCGATTGAAGTTGCCTCTTTGACTTACCGATAAAAAACTAATCTCACAAATTTCGCAAAAACACTTCAAAATTTAATCTGTACACCTAAACGCTAAACTTTCGCTTCATTTTTCTCTCTGAAAAAGAAAACACATTATGAAATAAACTTACAAGAGTAACAATTAAAAGAGTATTATAATCAAAGAATCTAAAGATAATAAACAATCGTTGCGGTAAATTCTATCTATATACTTCAATACGATTATACAATGTCTCGTGTAATTATCAGCTCTGCTTTGTGCATTCGCAAAACTCTTTTTTTCTTTTCTCGAAGAGTTCACACAGCTGATTTTGTTTAACATTGTTTTTTCTCATATACATGTTAATTATACACACTTGGTTTTTGCTGATAAATTAGCTAGCGATTTCGTACACTGTACACGTATTAAATATTCTCAGCGCAATCTATTTTTTCGAATACAATTGTGTTTCGCAAGTTTATTTATTTTAACAACAATTATCGCGACTGTGCTGAAATTAGGAGAGATATTTGTACAATCATTGTATTACCAAAGTATAAAACGCAATGGAGTGGGATCTCTCTTGTATGATAAAAACACCATATACACAAAGATAAAAGAGGACGCAACAAATCTTACATAGGATGAAAAAAAAAGAGGAGAGACGGAAATTCACATTTTTCAAGATACGATATCGGGGGAAGTAGTACATGTACAACTGTGCGTCTAAACGTTGACATAACATTGTCAGCGCATACATGTGCATTACATTGCGCTGCAGATACATTGGGTTAATAAATTATGTACACACACGCGCGCGTGCACATGCGCTTGTACACACTTATGTATAAAATTATAATGTGCACATATATAGTTTTATACACGAGTGTATGTGTGTATTGTATTTGGACGCCTATACGTATAGAAAAACATATAGTATATTTTATGTATACATATGTATATATATATATATATTACGACTTTGTTAACAATATAAAATGTAATTATTCACATAACACAATATAATTTGTGGTATAATAAAATATCATTATAACGATCTGTTTTTGTACTGGGTAGGCCGATATTAGTTTGCTCTCGCACTATCGGAAAAAATATCTCAACGACAGATTCTTCGGATTTAGGCACGTTTTTTTTCTAATCAGAAAGTTTAAATTTAACAGATGAGAAAAAATTAAATAAAAAAAATTATTTTCTTTTTTCAGTGAGGTAGTTTTTTTTTTTTTACCGAATTGACTTTTTAAACATTGGAAATTTAATTTAAAACGTAATTTTTTAAACCTGTCAATGAAATACTTTTTATTTTTTTCTCCCTGGCCCCACCCTATACAGGAATAATATAAATTCTTCAACTTCTCAAAGCTAAATATAAGAGGGCTCAAACTCTTTGACTCACTTATCAGAGACTAAGCGCCGAGCTAAGTTAACTAAATGCACACGTTTATTTTTATACTCGCTGGAAATTAATCTAATATGTGTATATATGTACACTCGAATATACATCAATGGTTTCTGGTGCACTGGCATTTCACATACAGATTTTCAAATTTCTTCGATCACACTCAATAGAAGAATTATATGTTTTATAGTTTACACATATAAAAGTAATCGTAATAGATTTCATATACACGTGAAGATTAAAAACAATCTCGGTAAAAATCACGTGTTGCAAAATATCTGTAAATGTTTATTGCACCGGAAACTATTTATGCAACTTGGTGTATTTCGTCGCGGAACATTTGACACCGCTTTGAGTATTATTCGCGTCGCGTTAAACAAGAAAGAAAAAAAAAAAACGAAAACGAACATCTATGTAGAGATACATTGGATATCCTCGTTACCATGGTAACTTCGGGATATGAAATTGTGCGCATTCTCGGTATGTGTGCCGGAAATTGCCTTCTCGTGTCTAAAAGTTGCGTCGGGTTTCGACAAGCCGGGAGGGAGGAGGACTCGTGCGCGCCGTATCTACACCCTACGACAAGCCATTGTAGCGAGTGTCTTTTGAAAGTATATTGCTGCCACTCTTTACACAATATGAAGTCAGAAGAAAATAACATTGAACTTTTAAAGAGTCACTTTAATAATCCTCAGCAATTCCGTTAACGTCGATTATTTATTAAAAAGATCGAAAGATGCGAAAGATCGACGTGTGATGTTATGACACATCGTCAGGGGATAAATAATATTGCTCTCTGTACATTTTTCACTTAAAACAAATATTTTATATAACATTGAGAAAACAAAACTGTTTTCAAAAAAGAGATTCAATTCAATTTATATAAAATATGTTAAAAAAATTTTTTTGCATTAGTTAGTAGATTTCTAAAGTAACTTTCTTTTTTGCGCGTACAGCTGTCCGCGTGTTTTCCTATCGGTAACTCGTTTCCTTCTGCGTTCGCGATAGACGATTCGTTCGTGATGACCTTTGCGTTGCTCTTTTCGCGCAATCCTCTATCTATAGAGATCATTGTTGTAAAACGGGGTACACGCCACACCTCCGTCCTACCTTCAGAAGGTTAACAGGCTTGTGTGCACGATTGCATCAAAACGCAATCTGTAAGTTAACAGTTATATAAAAAAAAAAAATGTTATCATAATTACACCGAGTACATGAAAACAAAAAAAAAATGCAACACGTGAACAGTTCGACGTGCTTTTAACATAAACAGAGATACAATATTTGTGAGTAAATCTACGTATAAATGATAAAACTCGAAATAAAAAAAAAAAAAAGACAATTTTTGGATTTGTCAAAGAAAAAAACGGATCAACGTTCGACCGAAAGTTGTCGCGTCCACGTATACCCACGCGATCTGCAAATTCGACGACGACGGCATCGCTCGGTGCTTTCGAGATCGACGGATCGATTGGTACGGTCAATTCGCCACTCATCTGATTAGAAGCTAGATGGGTCGCAATCCCGATTCGACGAGATTGGTGAAAGTTACGGTGGCTACGATGTGCTGCGCTCCGTGGCGGTGACTTTAAACACACCTTATAAGGCCACTTTCATCATCGCGATCTTTAAGTGCCTAAGACGTGATGAGGCACATCGCCATATAATAACGCCCTTATACCGAACTGCCCTAAAAACCGACGACGACGTGAGCCCCGGTCTCCTTTTTCCGCGCCGAAGATATCTAGCGTGCGACCCGATTCCGACTATTCTCTTTAATTAGTTCCCTCATTTGGGCGGGACGGATGGGATTTACTTTGCGCGTCCAGTAATTAAAGATACTTCACAAGATAGATAGACACGGATGTGGGAATTATTGCCTTCAGTTGGTGGTACTTCCAAATTTTTGAAGCGGAAGATCAAGCAAAGAGCAAATCTAATATCGTGTACACAATGTGTACGAGCTATACTTCTGCTTATGTTTTAATTTTTAGTGTGTCGAAAAAGCGAGAAATATAAATTTTTTTTTGTACACTAAATTTTTGAAACAACAGACGATTGAAAACCCTGACGATGTGTTTTAAAAACTTACTTCATAGTTTTCGTTGCTCGCATCGCGGATTAAATACATGTATGTATATATATATAATATATATATAATATATGAGCGTAATTCGGCGGAAGAGAATAGTTCTTGCTAATGTTACATATACGTGACTAATTACGCAAATTGAACGAATCGGCGGAGCGGAGGCAACCGACTGCTAAATCACGCGAGACTTTCTAAATCTTTTACACTTTCTAGATAGAACACACCCTCTCGACACTCGCACACATATACACAAGTGCTTTTTTTTTCATTCTCAAATCCTTCTGTGAAGTTTTCGAAAAGAATCAATAAATAATCGAACAAATCGACATTGTAATTTTTGGCAAATTCTTCTAAACTAAAAAGAAGGTGGAGGTCGCGTTCCTGCGGATTGACAAAAACGTGTTACGCACGTTTTAAACACGTCTTTCGAAAGTTGCTTTATTTTGTTGTCAAAACCGTGCAATTAATCATTCCGATAACGAGAATTATTGACGGACTATCGACAGTGACTTTTCACCGGCAATTATATTTATCGAGATAAAATTTATCGTCGTCACCCGCCGGGAAGCGCGCGAATTGCGCGATGCGGCGTGGTGTGTGTGTGTACATTGCGTGTGCGTACGTACGTTGCGACGCGCAATATGCACGTAACGCTTTGTCGATGCAACGTATAATTACACACCGAGCCGAGCAACTTTCGTAAGAGATCGGTGGAACCCTTTTGAAAACTCTGAACTCCTCCTCTAAGATACGCGTTACGAGATCGCTCTTCGCGTCTCTCATTCCAGAAAATGTAGCATCGAACGCCTATCGAGTGTGCAAAAAAAAATTCGCGTCGATTAATTGTCGCGCGCTCGGCGAATATATTACATTAATTAACGCGTTATTGCAATCGAAAAAATCGCGTTGATGTATCAGTAAAATGTGGGCGGTTCTTCGAACGGGTGCGATATGTGTGGTGGCGTTTGGAGGATATGTTTCCAAAGATGGATCTTTGAATTACTGTTCATTATCGCTTTGCGAATTCTCCTAACAATCGATAACAAGTTGGCAGTGTTTGTGAAGTTGTAATTATTTATTAAACATTAAAACACTTTCTATATATATATACGATAACTTTTCATGATCGAGAGAACAGCAGAAAACATGTACATTTCTCATGTGATATTGTAGACTAATTAACTATTAGTGTCACTTTTTTTTATTTATAAATAGAAACCCACTTTCACATGTACAGAGTGTTATCTTATTTCTGATAAAAACGAGAAAAAAAAAAAAAAAAAAAAAAAAAAGAGCGATAATCTTACAGCCGTCAATCCTGAAATAAAAAGAACTCAATAGAGTATTTAAAATGAGTAAAAAATATAATCGTCATTGATGTTGGCGTGCATATAGAAAACAATAATAGTTAAAACGAAGAGTACCAANCATGATCGAGAGAACAGCAGAAAACATGTACATTTCTCATGTGATATTGTAGACTAATTAACTATTAGTGTCACTTTTTTTTATTTATAAATAGAGAACAACACTCACATGAACAGAGTTCTCTCTAATATCTGGTAAAAACAAAAAAAAAAAAAAAAAAAAAAAAAAAAAGTGCGATTTTCTTACAGCCGTCAATCCTGCAATGTACAGCACTCAATAGAGTATTTAAAATGAGTAAAAAATATAATCGTCATTGATGTTGGCGTGCATATAGAAAACAATAATAGTTAAAACGAAGAGTACCAATGTGAGAGAATAGCACTTACGCATCTCGTCGTTATGCTTGCTTCGCTCTAAATTGCTCGTTTTTTGAGTATGTACCTAAATCACAGCTTGTGCTACTAAGTACTTAAGTAAAATATATTCCTCTCGATACTCTGCACTTATTGCTCTAACCAGTTACTATATATATATATATTTCTCTTTCTAAAATCTATATTCTTTATATATAAAATTATTTTATATATAATAATTAATATATATATATATATAAAATTTATTTTATAAAACATTTTCAACGTTATAATATCTTGTGGCTATTAAATATAATTAATAATCAATTAACCTATATAAAACATCGCTTTGATCTCGGTTCATCGTCATTAAATCATTTCCATTGCCTTCAATGTCATTAAACGGTAATCCAAGTAGGAACAACAATTTCATGGGATTGTCATGTGTTAACACAAAGAGAGCAATTTTCTTCTCGCGCTCTTTCGATTGTTCATAACTAATTAATAATTAATATAAAAAAAAAAAAAAAAATTACAACGGCACGAAGTGCCGCCGTGTGTTGTAGGATAGATAATCTCGCAAAGTGAAGATCGAGGTTCTTAATTATCTGTTTAATCAACAACCTTCTCCGGTTACGTTAGTTTTTGCCTTGCTTAAACTCAATTGCTTTCCCATCATCTCGGCGTGCGAAATATCGCGGAAAATTAATTTCCGCTCCTCCGCAATTAATTTGCAATTGACTGTGTCCCGCAGTTTCAACAATTCGATCTAACTCAAATCAACTGAGTGAATTCAAATAATATCTCGAGTAAACTTTAAGGTAAGTCCACTTTTGACTTATAAGCGGGGAGAGTAAGTAAAACGCACTTCTCAGTCGAGTTCAAATAACTCGCAACAAAAATCCAATCTCGAACAATTTCCCGAATCTCAAATTAATTCTTCAAAGAGAATTGTCTAAAACATTTCTACGATTACAGACTTATTTCTGGATACAACGAGTCTATTTAACCGCTTGTCATGGTGTATTGCTCTTGTAAGCTTCTCTCTTTCTCTCTCTTTCTCTCTTCTCTTGGCTTTTCCAAAACGTGGAAATCATTCGTGTAAAAAAATAAAAAGAAAACAACAATCGATGAAAAATAAAAAGACAGCAGAGACCAGCCACGGCTGCCACCGGTTTTAAAAAATAGAAACTAAACGAGAAACAGAGACACACTTCACATCTCGTGTCGCGTCGTCGTCTACGTCTTACAAACTAACTGGAAGAGTTGCAAGTTGCGGTTCCCGACGAGTCCACAGTCACCTGAGCCCTACTGGCAATGGCGGGAGACGTGGATGTTACATTGATCTCCGCCGTCGGGCTGATGTTTTCGTTGTTCCCGCTACCGGCGGCATTTCCGCTGGTGGTCTGCTGAATACTGGCGGGCTTCTGAGTCACGTGGGTCTGGTAATGCTTGGCCAGATGCGCTTTCTGGCGGAAACTCTTGCCGCAGAGCGAACAGGCGAACGGCTTCTCGCCGGTGTGCGTTCGAATGTGCACGTTCACGCTGTACTTGTCTTTGAAACCCTTGCTGCAGATGCTGCAGTAGTGCAGGGAGCGCTCCTTACGCTGAACGCTACCCGGTGAGCCGCCGGAACCGCTGCTCTGTGACTGATTCGTGTTACTACCGGTATCGGAGCCGGTATTGCCGTTACTGGCACCAGTGGCGTTACTGTTGTTACGATTGGCGCGTCTGACGTACTTCTTTGGCGGCTTGGAGGTAACGCCGACTCGAGCGGGTGCCATCTGCAGCTGACCCGACTGTTGCTTCTGTTGTTGTTGTTGCTGCGTCTGCTGTTGGTTCAGGTCGGTCTGTTGAGTGGGTTGTTGCTGCAAAACGTCCTGTTGAGGGGCTGTGACCACCGTGACGGCGCTCACTTGACCCAGATTAGCCGGTAACGTGATGGTGCCCAGACTCCCGCTTGCCGGATCCAACGTGTACATCACCGTGGTCGTTGCCGACACGTTGCAGACCGGGTCCAGGCTGCAGTACGATTCCACCACTTCGTTCGCGATGCTCTTCAGCTTTTCGTAATCACCCGGCCGGTAACTCTGATCCAACTGAGAAAGCAGCAAGTCCTCATCAGTGCAAGTCTGCATAGGTTCTTCTTGTTGGGACTGCTGCTGCTGTTGTTGCTGTTGTTGCTGTTGCTGATCGGACACCATTAAGCTTGCGTTTCCTGACACCGGCATCGAGATGGTGGACGTTTGCGAGGATGGCGAGGGCGAGGAGACCGACTGAGTCGATCCGGTGTACAGTTTGCCCTGAAGAGCGCTCCTCAGGAGACTCTCGGCGGAGTCTCTGGCACCCGCGGCGACCGCAGCCGCGGCAGCAGCTGCTACTTCCTGCAGATTCTGATCCGATAGTTTCCAGTCGTTGTTGTTGTCGCCTGAACAGTTGGCGGAAGATGTCCGCGTGCATAGTTCCTTGCTCTCGACGAAGCCGTTGTCGTCGGTCGTGTACTGCGACACGGTAAAACCGCGTCCGTCCGTCGTGTGAAATCTCTCGTTCACTTCGCCGCCGGCCTGCTGTTCGTGATCCTGTTCGCTCGTAGGCGGTTCCATATTCAGGATAGCTTCCAGATCGAGATTAGGTCGGAGGGACCAGGAGTCGCTAGAAGTGGGCGCCGGGCTCTTGCAGCAGTCCAGCGCGTCCATCGAGTTCGCCTCGTTATTCAGTACCGTCAGCGTGTAGATGGCACCGTCGGTATTCTGCCGATCGTTGGCGTTGCAACCCGCGCGACCCGAATCCACGGCCTGATGATGATCGTTGGGACCTCCCGCCGTCGCGTGAATGACACTGTCGCTGGCGTTCGAGGACCAATAGTATTTGTTGAGATCCTCCAGGATGTTGCAGGTTTGCTCTTTGTTCTCATCCTCTTGTCCCCAATAATCGCACTCGGACTGATCCATGGCGGTCTCGCCGGTCTGCTGAACGCTGCCATGTTGCGAACGCACCTGGTGCTGAGCGTGATGATGACTCAGAGAACCGGTGATGGTCGAGACCGGCGGTAACGCCGTCAAGGTATTGTTGTTAGTCTCCTTGATAAAGGGCGAAACGTGGGAGTTCTCGTGGTCCTCGTGGGTCTGTTGAAGATAACCGCCCATAGCGCGGCAGCTGGCGCTGCGATGCAGGAAGCTCTCCTCGTCGGAAACGACGCCATCGGCCGTGGTGCAGTGCGGCGGCGGTGACACTACGAAGTCGAAGAAGTCCGTCTTCGGCATGTCCTCACTGCCACTTCCCGGCGTGAAGGTCTCCGTCAGGTCCATGGAAACGATGTGGCGTCACTCTTCTTCTGACGTGCTCAATATCGCCCGGTTCTCGGATCCGTTTGATTTCAAACGCTCGCTGAAATCCGCTGGGCAATGTGTCCGAAGTACCCTCGTCAAACGCAGCGTCTTCGAATCCGCTCCATTCGCCACCACATCCTTGAGTCTTTTTCTTTTATCCAACAACCTGGAAAAAACAGTTAGATGTAAGTATGTGTTTGTAACTCGCTTATGTTTATCCTCACCTAGACTACGAGTTTTAAATGCCAACGTATATGCGGATCGTAAGAGAAAGATTTACGTCTGCTTTAACATGTCTTCAGCTCTTCCAATTGGAATTTTTAACACGCTTATCGTCTACAAACTTGTAGTTATTTTTCCTCAGGACTTTAACAATACAATTTTTTAATTTTATTTGGATTCAATCGGTAAAACAGACAACTTTAGCATCTCTTTAAGTCTGCAGTAACACCATGTGTTGCTGCGGTGTTGCAGGATAGCGAATACACAGAAAAGAAGTTGCGCAAGCAAGCAATCATTGCTCCTGCCACTCTGTGTCGTACACGTGCGCCGTTCTCTCTCTCTCTTTCTCTCTTCATCTCCCTCTCTTTTTCCCGCTTCTATCTTGCAAACTGTGCCTCGCTAGAGCGAATTTATACACGGTCACAGTGCGTTCCCACGCCGAGAAAGCCCTGTTCCACGAGAGTTATGCTTCGAACGATTTCGCAGCGCCGATGTATCGAGACAAACCACGTCGCGCACAAAATTCCGGAAAATCTAGATCGCTCCCTATATAATGTCATTATGCGCATTTCATGTTTGATGACAAGTGACGAAAGCGACACACGTTGTATATGACGCACGTAAAAGCGAGAACACGGACCGAAGACATGTGAAAAGTTGAAACAAGTTGCAGCTGACAAGAAGTTAATGCACAAGTATACTGATTGGAATAAAATCCGATTGCCATACGATTGAAAAATTATTAACGGTTATAAAACTAATAACATTTCAACGTCAAAATGTCAAGGAAAATCGTAATTGATTTTTGATAGTTTTTAATGATGGTCAGAAAAATGTGTGAGGAGACTTTTATTATTTATATCGATAAAACTCATCAAAATATGCAGTCAATCAATATTAAATTATTGTTGATATTAAATCAAATCGTCGTTACAATATGATCGAATTTGATAAAATTGATTGAAATTGCGAAAAAAAGAGAACGGATAGAAAATAACATCTCGAGAATTTTCAAAATTTTTTTTAAGAATGTTTTTTATCAAATTAATAAATTTAACATCAGAGTCGCGCTGAGAAAATCTCAGACTGGATAAAAATGTAAGTCAAGAGCGATAAGAAGCCCCCGCAATGTGATTATTACTCCTCGCAGCGATCTTCTTTTTCTCTTGACTCTTGCGCCTTGTGCAACGCGATCTAGTTTCGATCTTTCGTGAGAGTGGTACAACACGGTAGGAGACCAGGAGAAATAATCAGCGGGCATCGCGTTAGGCAATTCGTTGCCCGAAGGAAATCGGATTGTAAAGTTCGACGATCTCTCTCGCAACGATTCCAAAGAAAATGATGGGAGAAGAGATAAAAAGTTTATAGAAATCTGTTTTTTTTTTTTTTTTATTATTTTATTTTTATTTTTTTTTTTTTGTACGATGTCGGGACCTCTCTGCAACCCGCACGTGGAAGATCGATCGACTCGGGCTAATGAGATACGGTCGATTACGACGATTTCATCGATTCCGCGAATTCGTGAACGACCGGCAATTCATTGCTTTTTTCTCGATGTTCGCGAACGATTAATTTTTTTCAAGATCTTATTTTTATTTTTCACAGCAAATGTCAACTTTATTTACTCGATTTGTTTAATAATGTAAAACTCATTCAATTTATATGTCAAGTATCAAAGTTGTGAAATTTATTGTTTATATTTATTTTAACAATGAAGTTAAAATTTTTTGTGTAGAAGTTTGGCTTGTTCGATTGTTTCGAAATACAAAGTTTGAACGTCAAAGTTCGTCTTTTTGGGTTGTCAAATTTTTATTGATTACACAAATGAAGGAAAACTTCTCTTTGAAAAATATAAAATACTTTAGACTTCAAAATAAATCAGCTTTTGCAAGGCTTCTTTGCGCGCGCGCGCGTGCGCAACAAGGTGTTCGGCTACTTCCCAGAGTAAAAGAGGTCAAGGATCTTTTCGCGCTGGGAACTCGAGAACCATCGAATCGATCGAATTTCGGGTGCGAAGAGAAAAAGAAAAAGCTGAGATGTGCAAGTCGATCTTTTGCGAAACAAACAAAAAGGCCTGTAAACGGCTGTATTTTTCATCTTCCTCTGCTGCGGTTTCTTACGATGCGAGAAATCGGTAAAACCTTATACAAGGCGCTTTTATATGCCGTAATAACACATCCGCGGCCAAATTTTATTGCTTCATTCTGATCGATACAATTTCCCAACCGAATCATCGGGACTCTCTTTTTGCTTTGCTTTTTGATTCGACAAAAAATCAATTGTAAATTCGCGGTTTTTGCTGGCAATTTTACACCCTTCTTAAGTTGTTCGAAAAAATCCAAAAAGTTTGCAAGAAAGATAGCATCGATGATTAACACTCTAGAGAGCTCTTATTTTTATGGTCAAGATTATTAATTTTCAGCAAACAATGTGCAATTACGCAGAGAGTCGAAAAACGTGTCTCTTCATCTCTCGAAAAGTTTTTTACGTATCACAACGCAGAACGGAGAGCTCGAGAGCTTGAAAAGTGTACGTAACGGAACAAGATAAAAAAAAAAAAAAAAAAAAGAAAGAACAGAAAGAATTATTCTCCGCATTATCCGCGTTGCGAAACTCCTCGTAACGAGAAGCCGTGTAAGCGCGGCGTTTATGTCGTCGGAGCAAAACGCGGGCGAGTATCGGCGAACTGATTGCAAAATAACAGGATGGAGAAGAATGGAAAACGCGGAGAAGAAGTCGGGGGTACTGTGATCATGAAACGATACTGTGGACAAATGAAGTAATAAACTCCTTAGCGAGCGAGAAACGAGCCGAGCGGGATTGGCAAAAGAGCGAGCTGGGAAACCGATGCTGTTCGTGAAATTATGATGTAATGTTCGTCGAGAAGAACAAACAGGATCCGTCCGAAGAGAAGACAGCAAAAATGTATTAATAGACCGTTTACTTCGGTCGCAAATAAATTGAGGCGTCTTACGCAACGGAGTTGCATTGCGACGAGAAAAAAAAGACGACGACGATTAAGTCGTCGTTATGTGTTCCAGCGCATAAATGGACGGACAGAATTTTGCCAAACGACAAAGTAGAGATTTTATTTTTACATACGCGCGCAGAGAGAGAGAGAGAGAAATTTAGATTTCGAGATAAGACTCTCGAGTTTCTCCTGATCTTCCGAGCATAACTCGGAAAAAAAAAAAAAAAAAATTCTGCCCGGAGCGAATTAAATCGCGCGTTTAAAACCGCGGTAGTAGTAGGTTTTATTAATTTACGCGCGTAAATTTAATTTCGGGAGTGTTTTATGGCTAGCTTTGCCGACTGGCCTGTAGCTCAAGTTTGTCGAAAAAGATGGCTCTTTTAAAGCCGCCAACACGCGGCGGCGGCGGCTTTCTCTTTCGCCGCTAGTCGCGCGCACAATTAAAGAAGCCAATTTAATTGAAAAAAGTATGAAATTGGCCGCCGCAATTAAGGGGCAAGACCGCTTAACCTACTTGCCGTCAAACAATTAAATATGGGAGAGCTGCAAGAAACAGGTAGCACTAAAAGTCAAGTGTACCTATATAAATATAATATATATGTATCGATGGAACGGCTATCTGTCAAATCGGTCGCAAAAAAATCAGATTATCTCGTAAGATCGACCAAGTTAGTGTCGGACGACACGGTTCGCGATACTTCAACGCACCGAGTGTGTTTACCGCGAGCAAACGTGCGCGCGCGGTCAATTATCTGTTTGCTTGTTTACACAATTAGATTTGCATAGTTCAATTATCGCATCGAGATTGTGATTATTCATCACACACGGTCTGTGACTGAGAGAAACGTCATCTACACCGGTACTTTTGTCGAAAACAGAAAAAGGCGGAGAAAAAAAATGTGGGAGCAGCAAAACAAGGAGAATGCGAACGAGAACGGATAGAGACGTGCGAGAGGAAAAGATGTATGAATAAATAAATATATGTACGAGAAGAGACAACGTGTGTGAGAAGACGGGCGGTTTCAAGGCGGTCTCTTCGTATTGAGGGAAACGGATGTTCGGCCCAATTCCCGCAGCAACACGCGCGCGCGCGCAAAATGCATGCAAGCACCTTCGTGTATCGCCACGCTAGACTTATAAAATCAGAAATAATATCAGATCGCGAGAGAGTACGGGATGGGAAGGAGAGAGGTGTAAAAAGTGTTAATTGGCGTCAAGTACACGATTTTTTCGTTATTAGGAATCGAGTTAAGAAGGATGCGAGGTGGTTTTTTTCTTCTTGTAAGTTTTGTTTCAGAAACGCGGGAATTATACAAATTTGTAAAAATGTATTCAACGCGAGCGTTTCTACGCTGTGTTCGTTGAAGAATAGTTAAATTTTAATTGCAAAATCCAATTGCGTCGAACGAAGCCGCGCGCGCGCGCGGAATAATCGCACTTACAAAGGCGCGGCCCACGCACACACACACACACACTTACTCACACGCAGTATCCCGAGATTGTCGGGATACGCGACGCCTCAAAATTCATCAAAACTGCAGCAAAACGCATTCCCGGGCATCGTGTTGCAGATACTCGTGCGCGCGTGTTGCATCGCGGTTTGCATTAAATCCCGTTAGAAAACAATCCGCGCCGCACCGCGCCGGTTTCTCGATTTCGTGAGATGATGTAGCGGGATGCGCAACCGAGATACCGAGCGCGTTTTTATCGCGCGTTGCCGCTTTGCGCGACGACGAATCGCCGCCGCGGTCGGTCTCTCGCGGGACGGCTCGCAGAAAAGTCTCTCTCGCTCACTCTCACTCTCTTTCTCTCTTCTAGACGCGCAAGCCGCGAAGAGAAACAAGCGCCGCCGCTTATGCACGAGATCTCTTTCGGAAGTTGGTACGCTATTTGGGACAACATACAACGTGCATCCTCTCACTTGGCTATTTAATCCGCGCGAAGCTTACACATCCGCATTTTTGCGGTCCTGT